ATGGCCGGCGAATTCCCCTGATTTGAATCCAATTGAGAATGTCTGGAGGCTATTGAAGGGGAGAATACAACGCCGGTTCCCTACAACAAAGGAGGAAGTGAGGCAGTATGCTGAGGAGGAATGGGAGAAGCTCGAGCCCGAAGAATTCGAGAAGTATACAGGCAACATGAGGGAGCGCTGCCTTGCTGTAATTGCTGCAGATGGAGGTCCAACAAAGTATTAGTTACTGAATAAGCACAGGTTATTACGTGGCAAATGGAGGTGGCAATAAGCGCTAGCAGGGAGCGCTGCTGGCCCGCTCATGTTACCCCCTTGTATAACCAAGAGTACTTGGAGAATCGGTAAGCGAAAATGATATCCGGCATGATTCGCTGTGGGTGCTTCTCGCAGCAGAAAGCCTGGACAGGAGAAATCCATTTCCAGACTAGCTGGAATATACTTAGCCTGAGAGTTCTTTGATATATGTCAAATCGATTCTGCAAATCAACCGATACGTAATGCATTCTATTAAATCTAAATATGGTGTTGTTCCTGCGTGCCCACGCGTGGTCAGTCAGCTCAGCCCTACCAACGGTCCGTCCCTCCCGCTTAGAAGCGACACCTTTCACTTTCGACAACATTCACCACCTCCCTTGCTACGTGCTCGTCCTCCTCCAACCTTGGGACTCTCCTCTTCTACCCCATGCCGCCCTCCCTACCACCACCTCAAAAATGGGCGCTCTCCAATCCATCATCATCTGGGTGGGATGCTATTTCGTAGTCCCATACCTGACCTTCCTCCCGCCAGGCGCCCGCACCCTCATATCCCTCTTCGCGCCCTACCTCGTCCCCAAACTCATCGACTTCGCCAAATCCATCCTCCACCCCTCCAGCCGCATCCCCGTGCGCCCCGTCCCTGCGCCCGCAAAACGCGCCCTCAACCTCTTCTTCGCCAGCGCCTCCCTCGCCCTCCTCCTCACCCTCCCCAACTTCGCTGACGAGAACGTCTTCACCGCGACCCAATCGCGGCTACAGATCGACACAGATGTCTTATTCAAAAGATTGGAAGCGCTGCGGCCGCTCACACCCACGGACACCGCCCTGCGCGCAAAGTTCGTGAACGCAGAGAGCCGCCTCGCCTACCTCGTCTACGGCGCCGACACGGTCGCGCACTGCACCATCTGCGGGCCCGACGACGCGTGGGGCGCTTTCATGTACCACCTGCCCAAGCTACTTTTGCCGCACCTGCTGCACGCCGTGGTGCTCGGCGCCGCCACCAGCGACGTGTTCGCGGGGCGCGAGGGCGCGCGCTGGCGCAAGCAAGGGTGGATCGCGGCGCTGGCCGTCGTGGTGGTGGAGGTGTGGTATATCGCGACGTACGACATCGCGCGGAACAAGAAGGCGAAGCGGCTGCAAGACTTGGAGCTTGTGTTCTGGCGCGTGCGCACGCTGCGGTTGATTGCTATATCGGCGTTGGATGGGCTGCTGGCGCTGGCGTTGTGGTTGACGAGCACGAATCGCTGGCTGGCGCGGCCGCCGCCGGTGGCGGCGAGGGTGGAGGCGGCGACGAAGAATGTGGAGGAGAGCTTGATGAAGATGCGGGCGCTCGGGGTGTTGCGGAATGCGGTGGTGCGGGATAAGGTATTGAGGGGGGAGGTGGAGGAATATTGGCGGCAGGAGGGGGATGTGATGGGGGAGTTGGTGCAGGATCCAGAGGTGGCGGTGGTGATGAATGGGGTTGTGGAGGGGATGAATATGGAGAGGGTGGAGACGGATGCAGGGGCTATGGCGGATGGGATTATGGGCGGGTTGGTCCTCGGAGGTCATGTAAAGGCGGAGTAGGGGTTTTTGCATTGGATTTGGAGTTTAAGCTGCATTGCTGGTGTTGGATATCAGGTTGGTGGAGTTCAATGGAATCAAACTCTCCAGATATAATATACTAGAAATCTATTTCACTGTTGAGCAGGCCGATGTGTCCATTGATGTACCGCTTATAATGCCTCATCACAGATATCCGTACATACGTTTACCGCTGCGCGGGGAGCCTCATAACATTTTCGAACAAGAGAGAAGTTAGGCATTTTAGACAGCTACAAAGGTAGTAAATTCGCGAGGCTACCCCAGACAGTACCTTTGTATCAGCAGGGTGTATGCAGATTAGAAGTGTGTATATTACCGCCGGTTTCTATTAATACGTTGAAGCCTTACGAACAGTGGCAGGAAGGAGAAAAGGTAAAATTATTAAAAGAAAGGTAACTATCACTAAAGATAAGCATGACTTGAAGCGCACAATTGGTTATACCAGACTTGGAAGTTTGGAATGAGTTACGTATCTTTTGGTGGCTATCTACAGTTTCATACTTCTCAATATATATCCCGAAATTTAAGAAGGGATTTCTCCCAGAACCAAATTACCTCCCCGCTCTCTACACCATGCTCCGATGCAGAATAAAGAAAATCATGTCCTTCGTAAATAGACACCCAGAGACTCCAATGCGCTTCGAACCGTAAATGCAACATCTAGGCCTTCTCTTCAACCACGTATCCCCACTCATGCTGCTCCTTGCCCCACATAATATTCCTCAACCACGTCTTGATCGTCTTCGTATACGTCCCCATATCCCCCTCCTTCATATCCACATTCAGCTCCTTCCCGCGGAAATTGATCAAGCTAATCGGCGCAATGAAGAACGCAGTCCCCGACACAAAGCACTCGACTAAGCGTCCCTCGACGTACGCCTCCTCGAGCTCAAACATGTCGAACTTCCTCTCCACAACTTCGAGCTCCCCGTCCTTCTCTAACCTCGTGCGCGCCAGTTCGAGAACGCTTCGTCGCGTGACACCGTCTAGAATGATCTTGTCGCCGAGGGGCGCGGTAATGAGCTGTGTCTTTCCCTCCTTGGTCTTCCACACAACGAAGAAGTTCGAGGCCCCGGCTTCCGTGACGTTGCACTTCTCGCCGAATAGCCACAAGATTTGGTCGAAGCCCTGCGCGCGCGCCTCGCCCTGTGCAACGAGAGAGGGGCCGTAGTTCGCGCCCACCTTGGCGTATCCAAATCCACCGGGCCAGGCGCGCACCATGTCGTCCTTGCTAGCCAACAGCTTCATCCCACCAAGGGTAGAAGACGTATCCATAGCCGGGAACATGGTCATAATCACATATAGCAGAGCTTCCTTGGGTCGTTGCACGCCGAGAGCGGAGTCCGTCGCGATCATCGTAGGTCGGATGTAGAGGAAAGCACCAGGCTGGTCCTTGGGCAGCCACTTCGCGCCATCCGTCGCACACAGCTTAACGATCAACTTGAGCAGCTCCTCTGGGTTGAACGCCGGCAGCGCGATGCGGTTCGTGGACATGAGCATGCGGTTGCAGTTCAGGTTCGGGCGGAAGAGACGCAGCTTCCCGTCGTAGCCACGGTACAGCTTCATCCCCTCGAAGCATTCGGTTGCATAGTGCAGCACAGAGGCTGTGGGCATGATGCTCAGCGGGCCGTAGGCTTGCAGTGAGGGGGCGTCCCAGCCGTGGGATACCGTCCATCGGGCTTGGATCATGTGGTCGGTGCACACTTTCTGCGAGGCGATTTCGGGGCTGCCGGCCGCGGGGACGGTGCGAGGGTTCGAGGTGAGGGCGATGTTGAGGCGGGCGGCAGAGAGTTCGGGGAGGGGGGTGGCGGTGCCGTTGGAAACGATCTTGGGGGCGCCATTAGTGATGGCATCAGCGGCTTTGGTAGAATTGCCATTGGAGACACCGTTGGAGGAACTCGATTCTGTGACCAGCGAGTGGGCGGTCTTATCGACGCTGGAGGCGATGCCTTGGGCGGTCAGATTGGAGGTGGTGGTTGCGATGGCCATGGGGGACATTGTAGACGATGGTTGAAGGTCAAATGGATGAAAGAGAATGCAATTAGTCTACGGAAATGCGACAGCAGATGCACGAGAGAAGAGTGGCCTGTCAAGAAATTATGGGAGCTGTGCGTCCTAAATGCTTTTAAAGAAAGTGGGAGCCACGGGGGGTGCTGGAGCCATGATTCATCGCCCTATCACCTTCCATTCTCTACGCCACACCGGGTCTCGGGTCTGGGAGATACTGGAGGGAAACGCCTGCGACAGAGATTTAGTTGGTCCCCACTTGCTGCAGCCATGGGTGCGCCGTTCTTTGATGCGGCACGCGAGTCTTGTGATGTAGAGGTTGGAGGAGACTTTTTCGCCGTGGCTACCCGGCGATAGGAAGCGATGGCCGGGGTAGAGAAAACTCGGGACGCCGGATCAATCCCTGCTGGCACGCTAGGTTGGGCGGATACTGGCGGCATGAGGACCGTAGCATTCACTCACGTCATGTCTTGTTATCTTTGGTTATGCCTATTTGGTACACTTCAGCTTTCCCGTATATGTTTAACGATACCCCTCCATTTGCACAAGTCCAGCTCTCTTGCATGTTTGGGTTTTCACAGTGGCGATGGATGGCATCGTAGACTGGGCCGTGCATATCACTTCAAAGCTTTCGCCGCTACACAGTTTGACCTGGACAGATTTATGTAGAAACCACTTCGGCTAGAGCTTTTGAATCCTCTCTCCAGCTCTCAACATTCCACGGTCTTGTGTTTTGCAGATACATGGAAATGGCGATCGCGCGATGAGCTAGCTTAGTCAGCGTGCATTCCCACATCATCTTCTCTGAACATCTATTCTTCCATCCTAAACACCACTATCACCACAGGACCAAGCAACAAATGAAGTCTCGCTATACGCTAGATGCCAGCCTTGATACTTGGAGGTCCAACGATTAGAACCCGGCGTTCCCCGCTTGTATGGATCATATACATCGTCCATGTCATCCCCGCAGCTCGAATCGGTCAAGCCTCGCGCCCTACCGCTAGGATGGCGCTTGAGGCTGGTGCAGAAGAAGTCGAAAAGAGGGGGGATGTGTACTTGATGGAAAGAAGGGCGTGCATCATGCGTCGTCCGGGATGTCTGATGCTTACACAGAGCGGTAGGTCAGGCGACTTCCTTTGTTCCTATTTCATTTTCGCGTTTTATTTATGGAATATTTCCTCTACAAGCTCTTTGTTCCCTTGTTGTACAAGAATGGCTAGCTTGCTGGTTTTACAATATTGTTCCGCTAGTGCAGCGCGCACGTCACGTGCCTAGCACCAAGCTGGCATAGGTATGCCTCGAGGTACAGTATTAGGACATTAGCATTGCACTCTCTTTGACCACGGATTCAACTTCCCTTTCAGGTTTCAGGTAGTGATCAAGCCCGAGGGTCAAACAACGACATCCTTGGATATCTCAATGAAAAAACGCAGTTAATAACATTTCACACTAACGTGCGTCCCTGCGTAGCGAGAAACCCACCGTGTCGAGAAAAACGATGGGTACATTGACTTCAAGCAACTCAGACTCTGTGCACACATCAATATTTTCCACCGTCGTGTATAAGTCGTGCACTGTGGCCACTCCTGAACACTCGGAACTCATCCCACCTAAAATTCCGTTCGCATCGCCACCTTCGCGCCGAGCCTTCTTTCATGGTGTAACCGAATTTCTTCATCACAGCACCGCTTTCGGGCTCTTATCCACTCCTAACACATATGGGCCTTATCTGAGCCTCAGAATCTCACTACCATACTGGGAAGTCGTCATCAGCTTTGTGGCTGCTATCTTGTGCAAATTCATGCAAAGTCGCCACGCTGATCGGTACCTCCAACCGAAGCAATCATCAATCCCGGTTAGCCCACATAATCATCAATTTACTTACAGTGGCTGTTAACTAGACCTGTGGCTGTGCGCAGCCTTGGCAAGCGGGCCGACCTCAGCCTTGCAGCCTTGCGATCTAACTCAACCTTGGCCATGCCTCCGGTAAACTAACTCAATTCTCTGAAAACACCTAAGACTTCGCCACCTCATAAGGGTGTGGCTGGAGCGGGTCGGCCGCCCTCCATGCTTTTGGTGGCAATTCCCATTACTAAATCGCCTCCATTCCGTTAGATATCACTCGTGAGCATGTTTACGCAGCTCGACTAATGCGCACTTTCGATAGTTTCCTAACCCGAACTTGTAATTCTACACGTAAGAATATGATGTTGTCAAAGGTCTTCGACGCCGTTATTTCCTATATCACCCTACTAGCTACAATTGGTATACCAATAAGTATGTGATTCACGAAATGAATTTGCTTGACCTATCACTACGATTATTTTCTTCTTGATGCAGCACATGAAGCAACCACCCTGTCAACATCTAAGAGGTTCTGCACAGTAACGACAGTGATGAATCCTCAATTTCCGATCTACTCAACGCCAGAAGGCCAGAAACGCTGATCGCAGTCCATTAACTGAACATCAATGTACATATTGTGTTGACTTATGGAAAGTGTTTACGGAAAGAGTGTCTTCCTCATCATAATCATCTTTTCTTCCGTTTTGGACGCTAAGATTGTGAAAAGTGTGTGCAAATCTGCTTTGACACGAATCAAGCCTTCAACCTATTACCGATACCCACTAACTCCAATTACCTACCATATGTCGACTTGAAGGAGGTATCTTCTCCAATCACAATTCTATACGTAACAATTGCATATTTCTCCGCCCGCATTGAGTTTTCCCAAGCCCCTATGGCCTCAAAGGCACTCCGTGCATGCAGGAATACTTCCACTAGATGGTCCATCACCAAGCCCCACTTAACAACTCTGAAGCCTGCAGAAGATGAGTCTGCGCCAACGACAATAAAGCCAAGCGCGGTCAGAGTTTTACCGACAGCTTCCAGGCTCTTGGTTATGTTCTTCTGTGCAATATAGACGCGCGCCAGCAGCAATTGTGGGTCCCAAAGCAAGAGGCGAGGCACCTCGTCCGCAGGCCGCGTGTATGTGTTATTCAAAGCCTTGAGCAGACGCTCAACTTTATCCGTCTGTATGCCATTTGGCGTGGACGAATCGCGTACTCGCTTCATTCTCTCCAACAATTTCTGTCTCTCCGCGATGACAGCAGCCTTTGTCTCCTTAGCGTCTTGGCAGATGGCACAGTCACAGACAAACTCCCAACTTTTGAACGCTTCCTGCGAGTCCTTCAATGTAGTGCCGTCGGGAATTCGGTACCAGAATGTGATTTCAGTGCCAGGCTCCAGGTCTTGGGTTGCGCGCACGATCATCATATCGCCAATGAATGCGCGGCAGGCGTTGCTGGTACAACTGTGGTTAATATATGAAGCCTGGGTCCAGATACCGCATGAATGATAAGCTGTCGGCTCTTTGGATTTTTTGGCTCCGAGATTTTTATGAATGATCAAGCTGGAGAGGGGACAGCCGAAGACGTTGAAAGACATGATCTGTTCAACAAGAAATCTGAATGTACGTATACTGTAAGTATAGACAATATCATCTGTGATTTCTTGTAAATGAGCACTTACGTATCAACTATTGCCTTTCCATCCACCGCAGGTGTGCTCACTGCTTCGTAGGTTCCATGATGCAGAGTAGTAAATGCTCGGGCGACAGATGGGTTGTGATAAAGCTTTTGCACGAGGATTCTGATGAGGTCGGACTGGCCGCCCATGAATGCCCGGTTTTTTTCAGGATTTATCAAGAGAGTGACCTTTGAGTTACCCTCATCGCTCTCGGTTACGTAGGCATGACCGAAAGCTTTTTCACATAGGAGTAAGTCTCCTGCCTTCACAGCTTTGGTCACGAACAATCCACGACCTTTTTTCTCAGTCTTCCTTATCTCGACAGGCCCGATGTACGTAGCGTGGTCTAACTGAGGCGGCCGGAGCTTCTTAGCCTCTGCTTGAAGTAGCTTGAAATTGTAGTCTCCAGTGCTTTGCTCCGAGCATCGACTTCGAGCACGATTAAGTACCACTAACGCTTGTTTGTTGTTCGGAAACTTGGTACGAAGCAATTCAAGCACTTCGTAACATTCGCTAAACCGTCTGAGGAAATACAGAGCCTCTGCCGCCCGGAAGAGCGCCTTTTCTGTAGGGTTGGAGCCGAAGCTAGGGAAGCCAGTATCAGAGAGCGCAGCGTCGAACTGCTTGGTTTTGAGAAAAGCAAGCGATCTGTTGCGCTTGATAATCTCAATCTCGTTCACTGTGGCTGGTTGCGAAAGACTTTCCGAATATCTGTTCAGCCCGTTTAGCACACGTCTAAGCCTCTTTGATGTGCTCTGCTTACTCTGTAATCGCCTGCCAGTATTTGCCTTTTCCCATAGAAGAGTTTCCCTTGATCTTCAATGATTCGGCTGAGAGTTCTACTTCGAGAGCTCGCGGGCGCCATGCTCCAGGTATCCTGGGATCGTCCTTGTCGACATTAATGACATCGGAGAGATGATCTACACGTAAACCGTACTCGCCAGATGCCATGACCTTGAAATAGGGCTCTTTGACCAGTAAGATTGTGCCAACATTGACAATATCAGCGGTTTCACGGGTATCCTCCTCTTCCTGCTGGTACAGTTGTAGCATAACGACATCAGCACAATCATCTTCAACCAAAACCATAATCGCGGTGATCCGTCTAGGCGGCGTGGTAGCGCGCAGTAGGAGATATGTGCCTCGATGATGTGTCTCAAGCTGAAGATCTCGAATCGTGACGCGTCTCAACTCAGCCAGAGGCGTAGTGCATGGCAGGTATGCTGGTGGAATAAACGACGAACGCATCGTGTCTCGTCGCTCGCGCTGTTCTCCTGCTACTAAGGCCATCATGAAACCAAGGTACATCTCCTCTCTAGGCTTCCAATCACGAGGACGCTGACCTTGGCGCTTTTTAGCCTTTTGTAAAGTCTCTTTCTGATTTTGAAGTGTCTGAAAATATCGGTCGGTATCGTTGTGAACATCCATTGTGAGCTAGCGGCGACGGCAATACCCTCTGTTGTTGAAAAAGAGCCGAACTGGGATTACAATTCGAAGAGGTGACTGACCCTGTTGAGATTATGGTGGGAATTAAAGTCGTGACGGCGGCTACTCTGCCCTTATAGAGATGTTTGCCATTGCGGGGAATTGCTGCTACAGCCACCTCTCCGGGGTTGTGTCGTTACACAAAGCTGCACGGAGGGCCGTGAATGGTCGAAAATGGTATCATGCATTATGCGTGGCATCGTGTCGATTTGTCACTGGTTGGCAGATTGGATGATGCTGTTACGCAACATGACTTAGCTTGCCTGGTTCTAAATTCTAGAAGTAGGGAGGGTAGCCGACCCGCACTAGCCACACCCTTGTGAGGTGGCGAATTCTGTAGGTGTTTTCAAAGAGCTGAGTTCGGCCCGCTTGCTAAGACTGTGCACAGCCACAGGCTTGACAGTCACTGGTGATATTTCCGATCACGTGAGGTAAGAATTTGGAGGACAATAGATGTCGATTCTATGTAGGAACCTAGCTAGCATATATACTTGTAGGAGAGGCCCGTGCAGGCCTAACATATGCTAGATCTACTGTAACAAGCGTGCCTATAGTAGATTTATACATCACGTGCCCTTACATCACGTGCACGGTGCCCGAATATCAACCGAATATGGAGAATTACTAAAATATAGTCCAGCATTTTATTATCGCGCTTCATCGTCGGTTCATGGGGTCGTCCCATTGTGCAGCCATAGAATCCCGTGGGATCCTATGGCATGTTTACTCACGCCAGCGGCCCCGCTTGTCATCATCGAGGGTTTCCTCTTCTATCACGGTCATCGCAGATAGGCGCACGACAAGTTGGACCTATAAGGTGTTAGTATTTTTGTTGGTTAACGTTCATGCAAGGGAGAGAGGAGAGGAAGGGGGCATTAAAACCGGATACTTACATGTAAAAGTCGGGGCTGTTCTGTGGTTGAGCAATGCGTGCAAACAATGTCTCCCAAAAACGTGCTGGCACATCCACAGACGCATCGCGATGTGGCCAGCACCATACTCTTCCCGGCAAATGCCGCAGACGTCTAGATCAACTTCGCCCGCGGGAACTGGAGTCGCAACAGCGTCAACGCTAATCTCGGGGCCAACGTAAGTGATTGGAACATCGCCATCGCTGTCATCGTCGCTGTCGTGGTCGTTGTCAATGTCGTCTACAGGGAAAGTAATCACATCCACGCCCGCGACAAGGGCGATCACATAGCCGCTGCTCAGCTGATACAGCGTCGTAATAACTGCATCAGCTCCGGGCCTTCGCACCAGGTTTCGAGCCTGTTGAATGTTCGCAGTCGCGGCTGGATCTATCCAATTATCGCGGGGGTTTATGCCTGGAATTTGCTCCTCGAAAACTATGCCAGGACCCTCGTTGCCGGTGGTCCAGGGTATGCCCGTTTGCACCCTAGTTGTGCGCGGTGGGCAGGCGTCAGCGCGGAAGTCGTTCTCTTCCCAGATTTTCATTCTTACATTCAACTCATTGAAGGTTACTACTATTCCCCATGCGCCGTCTATCAGTGCGGTACCTATCGTGAATTTTTCCCAGCGGTTGTGAGTGCGGCCGGGCACCCAGAAGCGGAGTAACCTAACGTTGGGATTGATGTTGGAGTCAGATAAGCCGCCCGATGGTGATCGGACGAAGAAAACACCGAGCGGCTGGGGGTTTGAGCTTGAGTTAGACATCTTGTCTTAAGGATGTTGCTTGCTTATAGAAGGTAGTATAATCAGATGAAGGCTAATTGCGCTTCTATTTACAAGATCATATGTTTGAGAGAAGAAGCACTCAAGAAGGATCTGAGACGTCGAATGCGAATTGGAATAAAGGTTTAGGAACTTCTCATTTGCCCAACAAAGCCAGTCGCCTGCATTGATAGCCTCCAACAAAGGGGTGGTTGATAAGAGCTTTATCCTTCACAACAGAACAAAGCCCGGTTCTTTTTCGTGCACTCTTCCGCCGCCACTCGACACGCGCTATTACAATTTGAAAGAGGTGGAGGGAGTCGCAACATATGTCAGCCACAGTGTTCAGACCTATTCTTTATGAACACGCAAGACTGCCATAACCACCGCCGACGCGGCAACTCCAATTCTATGCCTTAACCCGTCGCATTTGGCAATACGTTATCGATGAGAATACTACCAATAGAAAGCTTCGAGTGATCAGAACTACAGCGAAATACTGCAGCAACACACTCCCTCTTGGCTTCTTGTACACTTGCATAGTACCGCTTGAGGTCCTGTAGGATGTTATGAAAGATCGGAGAAGGACAATATTAACAAGGCTGATAGCTTTGCGGGCGACTTCAAACGGTGTCAGACAGCCACTCTATGTTTAACGGAGCTTGATCCCAAGTCCGAGCGCTGCACCATGACGGGTTAAGGGATACCGAAGAGCTGCCCAGCTTAGATTAAAATGGTCTTCGTCAAGGCAGCCTTCGCATCACCCATCCCCGCACCACGAATGAATGATTCAAACTCTTTAAAATCTGACGCCTAGATATCGTACGAGGAAAAGCAGGGTAGAAAATATATTCATGTGCTGAGAGAATCTGCATAGTAAGTAGCAGAGGCAGCTTGAACGGAGAGGCTACTCTACTGGCCGACAAAACCTAAATATATGTTTCTCTTCTCTATCCTTGTTTACCTTTATAACACACTCGCTAGGCAGAACTAGTAGCCTGGAAATCTCAAGCGGCATTCCTGAACGGCCATCCAACGAGCCCGATACTGAGTTGGGTACTCGCTTCAATCTCTTTGGCCTGGGCTTTGAGTTCATCAACATCCCAGTTTGCCCACAGAAACTTGTTCTTCAAGAAACGCGCTTCGGGGCTTGCGAGCCAAACAATGAAGCTTGCCGGCAGAGAAACTAAGTCAAAGTCAGCCTGATGATATTCTCACTCAGCACAGCCCGGCATTCCACCTACCATCATCTGAATGGCCGACCGTAGCGACGCCCCCCGCTTCCCTGTTCCCCGCGGTGTCCACTACGCCCGGCTGGATATGGAAAACGGAGATGTCCGGGTTCGTATAGGCCAGGGAGTCCCAAAACCGAAAGACCGCCAGCTTGGCGATGCTATATGAAGCAAACTTCGGCATGAAATTCAGATGCGCAGCAGCCGAATTAACATCGATAGCGACTGCGTCCGTCGCCGCGTAACGAAGGAACGCCTGCGCAACGGATAACGATCCTGCGAGGTTTTGCTGAATGGCGTCGAGGAACTTGTCGCTGTCCACAGTCGCATTCACGGGATCATGCGGCCCAATCGTCATCGCGTTGTTGACCACGACGTGGATTTTTCCGTCGCCAACGAGGGCCGCGAAGGCTGCGTCCACCTCGCTCTTCTTCGTGACGTCCGTGGAGGCTACGAATACCTCGACGCCGGCGAATTTGGCTTCGATGGAGGCTTTGGTGTCGAGAAGGGGCTGCTTCCGACGGCCGAGGAGGGCGATCCGAGAGGCGCCTGCCGCGGCGAAGTAGCGGGCGGTTTCGGCACCGATGCCAGTGCCCCCTCCTGTTACGAGCACGGTCTTGCCTTTGGCGGAAAGCTCGGGGCGGGCGGGAGAGAGGGATGGGTATGTGTTCGTGTGCCATGTTGAGGTTGGGGATGGGTAAGGAGCAGCCATGATGATTGAAAGATGTATGGATGAACGAGGATGGATCGACTGTTTGATGAAAGATAAATAGGAACGGACAATGCCCAACTTTATATATGTTTGACTTTCCTTTCTAACTCCAAGTCAGCGACGGGGTTTTGCAATTTGGGAAGCCCAGTGCGATCATCACGTTCGCCACTGAACTACCGGACGCCCGAATTTAACGTTGCCAGAGAGAGAGGAGTCCGGGCTCTTGAAATCGAAGCATGTTTAGCATTTACAGAATTCTCCGGCGAAGAGATTTTGCTTTCTAGTGTCCCAGTTCTGTGTACACTTCCTTGCGACCGCTAGTAGTACCTGAAGAAGGTTGGCCGACATTTATGCTCCATCTGTTAAGTAGTCTGTGAAGTCACTGGGCTACTTCAGCCGGTGTCATCTAGGGGAGTGCATTTAGATTCTTTGTTGAAAGAGTGTTCCGGGATGGGTTTGCATCTACAAAATGTCCCGCCCGACAGACTATCCCCAATGGAGACATTAGCGCGGACAAGAGCTGACAAATGTGTCGATGTTCCATAACTATAGGCATCACGGCATTCCACTTTGCGATTCCCATAAATCGCAGCGGCCTAATCTGAAATGGATGTGCAAACTGTTCTGCGGTGCGGGCAGTGCAATAAACCGTTCGATAAGCGTGAGTAGCAGAACACTTCCACCACGTGACACTGAGGCCGTACTAAATTACTAACCGTATGGTGTGTTAGAGTCCACACTGAAGAGACATGGATACTACTGTCGGTCCCGAAGGTCTGGTAACATCACTCGGTCTAGATCATGTATTTGTTGTGCGAGAGGAAAGGCGCGTTGCGACAAGAGGCGGCCCCAATGCTCGAGGTGCATGACCAAGGCCATCGAATGCCATTATCCAGAGACCACGCTCAGGAATACGAGGCCAAGGACTCAGCACAATGATGATGTGCCGGCCGAACGGTGGAAGAAAATGCCCTCTTTGGTGGCCAACTCTCCTGGTGGCGGAAATCGTCAAGAAGCAAGCAAAGATGGTGATATGATTCTCGACAGTGCGCTTGTCATATCAGAATCAGAGTTCCCAAGCATTCCAGGTGATTATCTGGATTGGGGTGCCCCAGAGATTGACTTCGACGACTTTTTGAATGCAGAGACGAGCGACGAAACCGTTCAACACCCTTCATCGAGGTCATCATTTATAGTTCGTCACTCTACTACCCCAACTCGTCAACTTTTTCAAGTACAGCAAGCCAGCTCTTCTCTCAACGCATCGATACCAAGATCACCAACTTTCGCTGTCCGATCACTTATCCAACGACCCAAAATGACGACCGGGACGCAAAGAATCGGCAACCTCATACTTCACACCCTGAAATCTTATCCCCTAATGATGCTGCGCCACAACATCCTTCCGCCCTTCATCCATCCGCGTATAACATCTTCCGATAGTGAGGATAACTACATGGAGCCCCTCACCAACTGCATCAGTTTGGTGCATATGATCAGTAGCGGGGTCCAAGGGAGTCGAAAGTTGTTCTGGAAAAATGTGCGGCTAGAGTGTGAACGTTTACATGAAGAGGTTAGTTGAGTTTTCTATGGTTTAAGGGTACCCATAAGGAGCTCATCGGTGATTTTAGCATCTAACGTTGAATAAATGGGGACTGCTTGCGGCCATGCAAGCCCTCTCAATTTACATTCTCATCAGGTTAGATGAAGGCGAGACGGACCATAACAACTTTGATTTTCTGTTACTCGCGACGGTGGCTGTAGGTCTAGCTCCCGCTCCTTACCTCTTAATTTAGTTCTGATGAACTGATGTAGGTTATCGCCAAACAACTCTCCAACATCATTTCATGCAATACGCGGTCTGCAATATGCAACTACGGTCTTGGCGTAAGCTGGAAAGATTGGATCTACGAGGAATCGAGACGAAGGTTAGACTTCTGCCCACCCTGTTGTGATGAATCGAAGATACTAACCAAATCAAAGATTAGCAGTGGTCTATAGAGTCGTGAATATGTTAGTCTACTTCGAGCCAGCGGCGATGTGCCATCTGCAAGAGGATCTTGTCCTCGCACCGCTGCCGGCGAAGAAACAGCTATGGGAAGCAGGGGATGAGTTCCGGTGGAAGTCGGAAAGCGAGAGGGACCCTGGGGTTCAGACTGCCTTTGGATTGGCTGCAAACGGTGAGCTTGTTAAGTTAGATGAAGGCCAGGTATATTGTAGTGACGCAATACTGCTCCATAGGCCTTTGGACGCCAGTACTCCGTCAAGGGGCATTGCGAATTGGGAGGAGTGGTGTTCGGGCATGGACGGGTTCGGTGGGCTTGTTATGCTTGCTGCTTCTTTAATAGGGTAGTATGTCTCAAATATGAAACCAGTATCAACTGTCGTTTGTTCACAGGGAGTTTACCATCATGGTATGTGCCCTAAGATTGTGCCGTGGAATATATATGAGAGCTTCACTTATAGGAAAAGTGAATGGGGATCGCTACCCATCTAGAGATATCCTATTCGGAGTTTTTGGGGCTCGTGTTGTTTTATTGTGGTTTGAGATCTGAAATGGTATCGTGGATGTAACGGTATTGTCGCATTATTATTATGTGCTATTACGCTGTTGTAGGTCCCGTTAGGTGACTAATTTACAAGGGGAAACCGACCGCTGGCACGCTGCCTCGCAACGTCCAGATGAAAACCTCGTTTTCTGCGGTGTACGGCTCCCTGCGTCCCTTACTATTGTGTGCGGCTGTGGAGGACACGTAGTACCTCTGTGAGAAGCATTACTACAGAGTAAGCCATCTTAATGCGTCCTCCAGGATTTTTCCGGGTTCGAATGGTCCTAGGTTCCGGGGCCGTGGCGAGTCCAGATGCTGAGTAGGGTCCGGGGTAGCGTAGGCGTACGCGTGCTTTGTCGCGCGAAGGCGACAAGAGAATAGAAAGACGTTGGGAAAGAGCGTGAAGCGTGTTGTGTACGCCCTTCGATGGCTATTCAAATCAGGTGGGCTGCAGGAATCGGATATGGCGCGGAAAACGGGTAGGCGGTTTGGGCCACCCGTTGTGGGATTTGGTTTTGTCGTAGGGAGGTTTATGATTAGGGTGTGTGCGCCAGCCCGCTGCCGTTTGAGTGATGTACCCTGTTGCATTATTGCAGGTCAACTTGAACGATCCGATTAGCGCTCGTGGTTTGAAGAACCACCAACACCTGCCAATGGCGTGCTCGCCCTGTTTTGTGTCGAGGCCCAGATCCACAGCGCATTTATCATCCTGGTAAATCGTGTCTAACAACGAATTAGAAAACCGAGGTTTCGTTACAGAAGGACCAAGGCCGAAACATTCTAAGACTTACACCAACATCCTGGATCAATCTCTCTAATTACCATACCACCGACCCCCACGACTACCTCAGTAATATTCGACCTCCATTCTGTAGAGTTCTATTAGTGTCAAATGATGTAAAGGCTAATTTCTAGGATGGCTCACGAGTAGTGCGACATTCAGTAAAGTTATAGGACTGAATTCCGTCGACTTTCGATACATGCTTGTCCTCTAAGGTGATGTAGGATAGATGCTGGTCTGAGCTGGAGCATCTGTGGTCTGGGTAGGCATCAATAACGTTTTTTGAAAGAGCTGTCGTGGCAAGGAGGCTGAGGAGCGATGCGAATGCTGCGGTGTAGGAAACCATTTCAGTCCAAGTTGGAAAATCGCTTAATTGTGAAATGAGATGAGGTGGGTGAGTGGCTAATTCGCGGGCAAATGTGTGGTTATATGTCAGCAATTCTTGGCTCATGTTCTAAGACTGTACCATGGAACACGGCCCATCTAGATTCATCCTATCAGGAGTTTTTGGAGCTTGTATTGCTGGATGACGCGACCCGCGAGATAGATCCGTGGATCCGTGGATCCGAATGACTTCCTAGTAGTCCTCAGGATTTTGAGATTTGGCTCAGGTAATGCTGTAAGATCTCTCCCTCTTAGAGCATACCTTGTACTATCTTTAGTCATTTTCAAGAGAGACGTGACGGAAACCGCAGGGGTACTTCCCCGCACCATGTCTCTTCCTAGGTCAGCGTACACATTCCTGCTACTGTGCCGGATGGTTCGGTATATTTTCAGATCTTTGAAATCTAGCCGTTTGCACGATTGGGCCTCATCCAATGCCCCACGCTCTTAGATTATTGTGCGTAAGGTGTGGCGTTCAACAATGTATGATAAGTTTCTTCTTGTAAATATAATGAAACGTGTCTCCGGTAAAGGACATTGTGCAAAGTTGAAAATCGAAGGGGTCTATAAATACGGCACTCACCTCTCAATAGCATTTTAACATTTCCTTTCTATCGCAATCGTTGCGCAAACCAACAACCTCTTTGACACGATACCAAAGACACCGCTGTACCACACAAGCTACACAACCCAAATCTGCAAACTCAATCAACTATGGTGCACAACGCTGCTGCCGGAATGTCGGGATTGCCGCCTGGAGCAGTCCAGCAAAGGATCGAAGAATGGGCAACTCCCACCAAAAGCCCCCATGAACGGTTAGCCCTGCTTTCCGAAATGGCGAAGAAGGAGATTCGCAGGGCTCAGATTGACTATCCAGGTATGCCAGCGCTGGAGCAGGCATTCGTCAAGGTTCTCGAAGAAACGCTGTTCTATAGCACTCCAGATAGCATGGAATCGCTACGAAAAGTCGCAGAGAGCCAGTTTGCCGCGGATATTGAGACTCTTTCTTTCTGTGGATTGCAATTTACGACCAACACAGCGGCTCAGAAGAAGCACTTCTATGTCGGCTCTCAGAAACTGGCGTGGAAAGATGTAGTACAGCATGGCCAAGAACAGTCTCAATTTCGAAAGTCAGGCAAGTACTTGAAGCAACTCACTAGCCTGCTAGCTCGCTTCCCTCGTCTCCGCAATATTAGCTACTATCCTATACCCCAGGGTCAAGATCTCGGCCATTGGACTGACCGTACAGTCTGGTCTAACTTGTCGGACTGGAAACATGGAACGAAGAGCAAAGTCAAGTCTTGGGAGCGCGTTGACGAGCACCTTTACAGCAGCGACTTCTCAGCGCCCGATTTGAAGGAGCTTTTCGCAGCCTTGAGCGCATCGAATGTAACTTTGGAGACTTTCGCAACACCTTTTGCAGGGAACGTAGCATATTGGCACTCCATCAGCGCCCATAATCTTCTGTCAATTGACGCATCGCACCGTGCATCAGTCTTGAAGGATCTGAAGCATTTCAGTTGCAACATCCAGCAGTTCGTAGAGGGTGGTGCTGTAGTGCAAGATCTACTTCGTTCGTCCCCTAATTTGGAGACTCTAGACCTCTCACTTTTTGCCGACCACGTTCCAGAGCAGAGGTATATCGAGGACGAGGAATTCATCAATCCGTTCATGAAAAACCCCCTGGGGTTGGGCACCGTTCCTTTGCCGAAGCTCCGGGATCTACGCTTGACGTTTGACCTCGGGCTGTACACGCGGGTAGAAGACATCCTTCGTGTTTTCACAGAAGAAGAAAACGGTCTTCGCGGTATCCGCAAGCTAGGATTGGCCTACGTAACTCTCTCAAAGGGTACGTGGCCGGAATTGCTTACTCGATTAGGCAAAATTCTTGATTTGGAAACATTATGGATTATCAGTCCTCGCGAGGGAAGCAATGCAGGGCGTTCGATACAGGGGTCAACCATCCCAAAAGAAGTCCTGAAGAGTGCGGCGAAAACGGTGAAAGTTCACCACGATTTCAAGCCCTTCGAGCATAATTGGATCAGGAAGGGAGAGCACGCTCTATACCAGAGCTTTACGATCTTTGAGTAAGGCAGCCGGCGTTCTTGATCTACCTCCCCTTCTCACACTCGTTTCGTTTCGTTGATCTCTGCTTCATCTTAACCTTTCAGCGCTTGCTACTGTATTCTTTGCAATTTTTCCGCATTCATTGTTCTAGCGCCATGAATACCTGAGAGAATCAGAGTAATGACGCTGTAGTCCTTCCTTTAATCAATGAATTTTATCCCAAGTGCCATATAATTTCCCGACGCATTCGTGAGCAGGATTCCTATCCCAACAATCTCTGAGGCCCCTCCGAAAAAGTTTTGTGTTTTTGTGGTGATATTGGCGACACCGTGGGGACAACAAATCTGATCGTCTCAGTGGTGATAGTACGGATATATTCCATGATGTATATATAGCTTTACTGCTGCTCCGCCGTCATGATTCGAGAGGGACTGTGTAATGTTTGCCGCACGGCACCTCGTATCGAGAATATGGAAAGTTTGGAGCATCTCGGGCAAAACATGGGCACACCCTGTTACCACTTTCTGAGGTGCTTCGAAATCTATCTAAATCTTAGGATAGGGTCAAAGGTCCTCGGCTGCGTGGAACCAAGGGACTCGCTCAGCCCATAAGACCACCTGACCTTGCTGCTAGCTAGAGAGCCTCTGCATAGGATGAGAACTTCAGAGGTTGAGTGGATTGAATAGAAAGAAGAGAAATGTTGTAGAAGATGGAAGTCATTGACTTGGCGTGAAGCTGTCATGATGCTGTTGAAGGGATGGGGGAAAAAGAAAGCGGGAGACGTTGGAGGGGCTAATAGAACAGGTGACTAACCTAAACGGGATGGCGTTCCTGAATATCCCGCTTGTCGCTGGCAAGATCTGACACTAAAGTTTTCCTCCACAAACTAAACCTCATTGTTCAAGTAGCACTTGTCATCGAAGCGGACTGTAGGTACTATCAATTCAAGACGATCCATCGCTTTAGAATAATTCCAGAATTGTTGATGCGACGTTCGTGTCGACTGATAGATCTACCGCTGGTCAGAGCGGAAATCCGCAGAAAGCTCCACAGTGGAGTGAAAGTGAAACAGACTGAAGCAAGAGAAAAGAGAAGAAACACAATGGATGACGGAAAAACCGTAAGTGTATGCCCTCTTTAGTTTATGCTCCTCTGACTTGACTTGACAGAGACACAATGGCAATGATACACATGCCCTTCCGCCGCAATCAATATGTGATATGTACCGGAAGTACCAGAAAATGGACGACGCAGCAGTCGATGGAGACCTTCATATCATTGATTTCAACCGTGGGTTGACCGAAGATCAGCAAATGCAGCTCATCGCCGTTGACATCATCCCATCCGAATTAATTGCCTCCGCCGAAAAAGCCTTCAAAAATCACGGGAAGACCACCAATGGGGACTTGGTTGAGGCAGAGTCCCTTCCTCCAGCGTGTACCGTCTATGAGCATAAGGAATTCCCAGGTAAATCTCCTATAAGTGATGATCAATTCCTCACGTGATCTGACACTTCCCAGGCCTCCGCTTGTTCCCATCTCTCCTCCCCCCCGAAAGCCAATGGCTCATGCTCGACCATCTCCTACACCGTGAGCTGTCTATTCCGCTACATACAAATAACCTCAGTCAAGACTATACCATCCCGTATCCTCCGCATCTGGCAGACGCAACATCGCCGCTGTCTTTCTTCACTTATCCGCAAAACAACAAGCATCCAGCTTTCATTCCCATCAACCCTCTCTCGTCCCACAAGACACTCAATACAGCGCAGTTCTTACAAAAGAAGCTTCGCTGGCTGACTCTCGGTTCGCAATACAATTGGAGTACACGATCTTATCCACCTTCTTCTCCGACTCCTTTCCCGGCCGACCTTGCCGAACTCGTTACCACTCTTTTCAAAGCATCTTTTAAGCCTGAGTCCGGCGTCGTACTGCTCTATAGCCCGAAAGACTACATGCCTGTTCATCGCGACGTCTCCGAGGAGAGTCCGCGAGGACTAGCTAGCTTCACGCTTGGCTGCGATGGACTATTCATCATTGCGAAAGAGGACCTGCCTCGGGAAGAGCGCGAACAGGGTGACGAACCCGAAGCACCCCCGCATCATGCTTCTTCAAAAAACTCGAAATCAGACTCCCCGAAGCAACCTATGGTTGTGATACGCGTACGAAGCGGGGACGTAGTTCAGATGGACGGCCCAACACGGTGGGCATGGCACGCGATGCCGAAAGTTATGGCGGGAACGTGTCCTGAAAGTTTGCATGCGTGGCCGGTCAAAGAGGGGGGTGGGGCACCGAAGGAGTATGCGCGGTGGAAGGGCTATATGCGAAGCAAGAGGCTCAATATTAGCTGTCGGCAAGTGTGGGAGGGCCCTACTAATGACATGGATGGATGATTCGACTGAGATCGATCTTGAATATACAGCACTAGGTCTGAAGTCTGGGCACACGGACTTATCACTGCTTGACTCCAACCTTGCTCACTCAGCACCACTGTGAGGAGCAACCTAGCCAATAAGTAGCTATTTAGTCAAAGGGCCGTCTAATTCGCACTGCTTAAAACTTGACATCGCGCCTAAATTTTTGAAATTTCATGGGGATACCCCAAGCAGTGGCAAACGCGTGTGCACAGACCTAGGACCTGTCAATGTAACAGCTTGCACAATCAAAAGTCTGATTGCGTCTATGCACTATTTAGCATCTTGGAATTCCGTTTCCAGGTCCCTCGACACATCCTCTAAATCTGGGCCCTAATTCTGCCTGTCCAGCCTCCGCTTCTTCCTTGACGGCTCTTTATTCTCACACTCGGTCTCTTCGCTTTTCAACTGCTCCAAGCTATCTCGCTTCTCCTTTACGTGCTTAAAATAATCCATGGCAAGGGCATCATCTTCCACAGTACGGCTAGTATTGCGGGGATATAGTCCATTACACACCTCCCTCGGCAACTGGACCAATGCATCCACCTGGCTCTCCGGGAGCCTTTCAACCACTCCAAACGAGAGATAGCCGCTCTGGACACCAGTACCAAGCCCAGAATTCGGAATGGTGGTGAAGGCCACGATCTTCTGAAGCATGCAAAACGTCGCCACCCAGAACAAAGCTTGGAGGTCGAACTTGTTCTCAAGGCCGTACTTCGCCGGTTCAGAAGAGCCTCCTGGGCTGATGGCGTCTAGCAATCTCTACCGGCAGGGTGAGATCGAACTTGATGCGTTTTACACCGGCCGGGAGTCTGTAGAACCAGTCTCACCAGAAACGGGGATGCATCAGGTCGAGAAACATGCAGTATAGGACTCTAGACCCCCAGTTGATGTCCTTGACGCGCTAGTCATGCATACGAAGATGTTCAACAACCGAGATATAAGTTCTGTATCCTGGGATGATAGCCTGGGGGAGATCTTGGGTAAAGACTTGGATGTGGATTTCTTCAAGCCGGTCCAGCTTCGATGCAGCCGAATTGCCGGCGTTTGAAAAACTGCGTCAAAGGCTTGCACGTCTCCATAGCGGGGTGCCTCCACGGGGCGTAGCGAGCCCGTTGCGGCATCCGGGACTCATACTGGGGCTATAGCGGCGATGTCTGCTTGTAATATCCTGCAGACTCTGTTGAGGGGCGCAGAAACATATGCAGAAGCATGGGTGGGGTTCTTGTCCAAAGTTTGCGAGTTTGGACTGATGGAGGTCACGAATGTCTCCGAGACAATCAGCTGGCGAATCTCCCTGGGGAGCGTGAGAAGATTTGGTGGTGGCATTATGTCTACAAGCAAGCCTCCTTTGAAAAGTAGGAGGTATATGGAAAGTAATATTCTGGAAGATGGTTGGTGTGGGACGCTGTGGTGGTGATGTTGTGCGAAAGAATGACGGGTTGGGGCCACACCATGGTTTAAATAGGGCTCTCTGCGTAAGTTAGTCAAAGTTACCTACTAAGTCCCCCGGTTGTTCTCATGGTTTTATCTCGGTGAATGATTTAGTGCGGCGATGAGTTGGCGACCAAGATAATCAATGTCTCTCAGCGGAATCTTGTTGGGGATCGTGAGAAGGGTTGGTGGTGTCATGAGCGTGTAGAAAGATCTTCTTTGACAAAATCACACGATGGGCCTTCTTGGTATTCCAAAATGGGAACCCGTGACCACGTTCGTAAACTTCTTCAGTGCTTATCCCGGCGCCTCGTGGCAGCATATATACTTGCTGAATCCCCGATAACACAGCTCTTAATTCAAAGGAACTCGCTATCTATAGAATATGCGGCGGTCGAATAGTCCTACCAAGAGGAGATCATGGGGACAGTGGGTGTTTGGACGGTTTTCGGAAACCTAGAAGGAAGCCGATTGCTTGGTATATACAATATGTACAACGAGCTTTTGGAACGAAAGGATCCAAGCGACAAAGTTATGGCCGAGTCTAAAGTTTCGCCAGACTTCGAGGAGTGGGACGCCGATTTTCGAGACTATGCAGAATACTTCGGTCGGCCAAGATATCCTCATATCGGACACCGGGTGAATCCACCGATTTGGTGACGGATAAAACCAGTCCGTCGCAGATACGAAAACCCGTAATTATCGTCATCGCGTCCCACATGGCAGTATCTCATTGCATTATCTACGAGTTTCGTCCTAGGTCACTATACATGCTCTTGCAACCGTAAGAAAGGCTTCAGCACAATTTCAAAAATCCACCCAAGCTAGGACGACTCTATCAATTTGAGCTGTGTCCAAACTCTTAGAAGGCGAGCAGTAGCACTGATTTGCCAGTAGTAGTTTGGAATCTATTGAGGAAGTATCAAGATCAGCCTTTCAATCCCCCCTCCCAGCGTAATCGCAGAACAAGCTATCAAATTATTGCCCAAAAGCCGTTTGTTAGTCGAAGATTGCAAAGCTCTTGTATTGAACTCGCTGGCCTTGCTTCACCCACTCTTCCTTGGCAACGAAAGGTTGCTCATCGTGATGGATTTGGACTTTCCGCGCCACTCCTCCGAGGAACTCATTTGAGAATTTCGTTGCTTCGGAGTATTTTGGGAACCACCCCTTCCGAGGACTGATCAACAACAAGTCCTCCAGCTCTAAGAGAGTAGAAAGTTTGAGTAGCAATTCATCCCATTCGTTATTATTAAGAGTGACGTAAGCTAAGCCTAGTTTGCGAACACTTCTCAGGCCTGTTACGGGCCCGTTGAATAGCTCCAGGATGTTCTCTTTTGTGGTGCATGTGCCGGCATCGAAGGCTAGTCGGAGCTCCTGGAGATGGGGCATTGGCACTGCGCCCAGACCTACGCCATACTCATTGAGTGGTCTGAAAACCTCGGGGGAGTCGTCGTCGTCGTCTGCAAAGAATGAGAGCTCGAGCATCTCCAATGCAGGGCATTCCTGGAGGATCTTCCTCATATTATGGCCCCTATTGAAGTAGTCCCAGCTCCTCAGATTCAAGCGCAGTTCCTTCAAATTCTGGAAAATCGTGGCGAAATGCTTCAGATCGACTACTTCAAGACGGCCTTCGCCAATCGTCTGCCAGTCTGCTTGGTTTCCGAAGGAAGGGGTTGTAAATGATTCTAGCTTAGTACCGGCCGCATGAAGAGCCGCGAAGAGGTCCTTTAGATCATAGTGGCGAGTACTGTAGAGGTATTTGTCATCCCGCACCCACATGACGCGGCTTGTGTAGCCGTAGCTTGACCCGAGCCAGTCCTTGTCGATGTCGAGAATTGCCATATTTAGCCAAGAGCCTCCTACACGATCCGGAGAGGTTGGAAAGTATCGAACGTGTTTGAGATTCGTGAACTTGGCTAACGCTATACGAAGGCCCTCGATATATTGACCGGATTCTCGAAGTTTGGCCTGGTCCTGGCCCCGGAGCTTGCAGTCCTTCCAGTCCTCCTTCTTTGGATATTGTTTATCCTGCCTGGTGAATAGTCCGTTGTACCAAGGTCTCGGCGGCTTGGCGTCAGTGGCAAACTGAAGCCCACATAAGGATAGTGTTGTGATCCTACTAGCAAAGATGCTCTCCGAAATCTCCCGCAAGATGTCCATGCTGCTCGTGGTCGTATAGAACAGTTTCTGCTCTAGAACCTTGACAAATGCATCGTCGAGAACGTCGCCCATATCCTTGTATTTAGTGCGTGCCCTACAAATTACTTGTTCCGAGGCTTCAGAGAGAAGTGGGAATCGTTCGTGGATGTTTTGTTCCGGTGTAGCCCACTCTTTGATCTTTGACTGCACTATCACCCGGGAAGCTCACGGTGGGGTTCGCTCGAACTACCATCTAAGGCGGCAATCGGTTCGTCCTGCGACTTTTCTTCATGTCCAAGAGGAATCCTGAGAGCAGCTAGGGGTGCTTCCGGCGAAGACTTTTTCTTTTTATCCTTCCTCCAAAACTTGTTGGACCACTTCTCGTTCAAGTATGGGTACATACTTAAGATATTGCCGGTGTTGAAGATGTAGATAGTTGACGTTTCAAAGCGGAAGCAAAGCTGTAGAGGGGTGGTGGGGGATAGATGGTGCTGAGATGTTGGATTGCTGGTCGGTGAAATTAGTCCATTCTCAGAGCGTCAAGGGTATTAATACCTCTGTCAGGGCGCAGCGTCGGGCTCCTTCCTGCATTCATTGACGTGAATAGTTTTGTATGGAACCGGCGTTGTACCGAAACATTCACTCATACATTTGGAGTCATAGCTTTCCTCATTAGGCCACGAATACCACTACTAGGGATAACAGCCTTTCCCTACAAATCTTCGAAGCTCTTCAGATGGAACCGTATATTTTTGGTCCGTTTCTCCGAAATTCCTATAGATTTCATCATTCTCCAACGACGCCATCTCTCACACATGGTCATGTGATCTTCAACTACTTCGTCAGCACCATCATGCACAAGCTAGCTTGGTCTTTCAATTCAGCCACAATGAAATGTGGTAATTATCTATCAAAAATTATTGCCAACTGGCCATCTCTTCGACGTTGAGACGGAGGTGGACACGCTAGGCAGGAAAAAGGTGGCACACTCAAGCAGTTCAACACTATCTGAGGTGGCCCATAGAGCTATCAGCTTTGCTGAAGCTAGTAGCTCAGAAATAATAATACGATACTGGACGACCTCAAGCGGTGCTAAAGCAGTATACACAGGCACGGAAATATTGTGTATACACCTCACGGATTCGTAGACTCCCAATTTCTATGGACACTTATTACTTACGCTGTCTTATAGGTGCAGCTGTCTACCACTGCTTAAGGTGCTTCAACGAGTTTCTATATAGCCCAGAGTGAAGAGCCTCTATCCCGTCTAGAATTCTGAAAATGGATTAAAGCACTTTAAGCAGTGGTAGACATGTGCACGTGTACAGTAGAGTGCCACCTTTTTCATGCCCCGCGTGGTGAAGAATTGAGTCATCACGTGCTGCGCTCCTATTTGCCGATGAAGGTGATATATGCCGCAGAAGTCCCGGCTTGGCTGAGAAATCCCTTCTACCGCATGCACTGACTTGATGGTTTATTTGTAATTTTCCAGCCAATATTACAGGGCCTTAAGAAGCACTAGACCAGTCTACGCGTGCGCGGTGGCTCTGACACATTAGGCCGTTCCAACTAACCTACGATGAGAAATTTGTTACACTCAAACAATGTTGAGTGCTAGAGACTCAAAAAGCATTCTGTGAGAGAGCTGTCAAACACAAAGCCTCGTCATAACCTTGCGTACGTCACTCTGCTAGTGCTTATATTGCCTGGAGGTATCCATTTAGATCTGCATCATGATGCACATGCTCAGTGGTGAACCTCATACTTTCATTAGCCTGTGTCTGAGGGGGTTGAAAAGCTTATAGATTGCTCAAAACAAAGAATTTGGGAATCTCAAGGAAAAGTTGTTAAATCTGAATCATGGACACCTCTTACGTGCCACGTCATCGAACAGTCCTTTTCGCTGTGCTTGTTAGGCTCGCTCACTTTGGTAGTGTGTGCTTGGTTTCCACTGCTTATCCGCGAACAACCTCGCTCTCGGTACCATGGTACAATTTCTAACTTTGATCAACACATAAATTAGTCATATAAAGCCACGTACATCTACCCGCAAAGTGGCCACCTTACACACCTTACACACACACTCGGCGACTCCAGCTCTACTCTCAACGAAATTGATAGCACAGATTACGACGGTCTTCTTCACTGCCGCACTTATTACGATGGTTTCCTTCGCTGCCGCACTTGTGTCGTTCCTCCCGGCTACTACTGCTCTCGCGAAGAACAGCATTGTCTCATATCCATATCGGAAGTGTTCTGCTAAAGACGAGCACAGAACATACACTTACGGAGGACTCCCCACCCACGTAGGATTCTTTTCAGAATGCTAAAGCACTCGTACGACTTCCCGAAAGCAAGTCTCGGGGCCATTGTATTGACGCTGACATGCGCTACAGAATGGTTGTCCAATGTTACTGGCAAAGATGTTCGGCCTGGTGGCATACTTGTTAAGGACCTTGAGCGGGGTTGTATCTGTAAGAGGTTTTTCCCCTTTAGAAATGAAGTCCTTTATCTAAAGATTTAATTAGTCAAAGTTTTCAAGGATGGCGAGTGTCGTAAAGACATAGGGAGTGAGGCAAATCAAGGCCGGCAGTATATTGGTAAATGTGGTTGGTTCGAAAGTAGAGACTCGATTGAATCAGTTGCATTAATCTGCCAGTGAGGAGCACGGTACCATCATGCAGGGCATAGAAAAAGTGGCACTCTGAGTTTAACAAACCGTGCGGTGAGTCCGTACACCTGTGTGTCACTGCTTGGGTTGCTTCAATGCATTCTGGGAAACCTGAGCGTGACGGAAGCTGTTCACCTTAGGCGATTTTAGAAGTCGTTGAAGCACTCCAAGCAGTGGCAAACAGCTGTAGACATAAGATGACTTTTTAAGTGTGCTACTCTTTCCCCGTCTAGTGTGCATGTCTTAAGAAAATATAGAATAAAGGTCACTTCTAATCAACTTTTCCTTCTCAAGTGCTCTGAACATGCTAATTCACTTTGCTTCAGCAAACATGCATCTCTGCTTCTCCGGTCATTCCTAAGTGGCGCAATTAATCTCATAGTCGCCGATATCGCAATGCGCATACGTCCGCAATGATCGCAGTAGCAGAAAGCTCGAGACCGAAGCTCGGTTCATTGCCGTACTATCGACGTATTAGATGAAGGTTCTCTGAAGAGGTATGTGAAAACTTATAGCTATGTATGCTATCGCAATGTCGCGCTTCGTCTTCTTACTAGGCTTTGGATTAACTATGTAAGCTTTCTCGCATGGAACCTGCCCTAGGACTCGAGAGGTTCGCCCTCGTCACTATATTCGCCTCCCACATAGCGGTTCCATAGCCGAGTGCCAACGATGTACCGATCTGTGTGCGGGTCCCACTCTTTGACCTCCTCTATCGCGGCCATGTGGTCCTCCTCCCGCTGCTTCTTGACTTCCGTTTTTTTTTTTCTGCTAGAGCTCCCTAGCTTCCTCACGAAGTCTTATCTTCTCCCTTCGTTTAGTTCTCCTGGCCACTGCCGCAGCCCTTTCCTCCTCGGTTCGCTCATTCTCAGAATCGTCACTCCCAAATTCGGACCACTCATCGCTCTCCTCCAGCTCTTCATCCGAAAACTCGGATTCACTGCTATACCGGTCGTAGTAGCAGTCCTCTTCGTCATTGTCACTGTAGTCGTAATATCCAGCGGCGTCCACGAGGTATTTTGTGCTACCGGATGAGCTGAGTACTGGGAGCACCTGAGGACCCAATCTCCGCTTGCGTAGAACCTCGAAGACAGCCACATCAGCACCATTCAGAGATGCTGGGAGACCATGAATGTTTACGCCGCTGCCGTGAGCATAAAAGTGCGCGCACTGAATCGTGATTTGGCCACCTGTGACAAAATTAGCATGAATACGGAGCAAGCGCGCGGATCCGACTTTTCTGCCGCCGCTTTGGCGCTTCAACATATTTTGGAAGTGTGGTTCATCCCCCCCGACGTACCTTCCATTAAGAAATACTTGTGTGCAAGGAGACCTCGCATATCTTTGAAGAGAGGCAGCGACGTAGCATCCAAAAATGGGCTCATGCCAGCAAGTCCGCCAACTCCCCGCGCCATGTGTAGGTTGTACGTCAATGTGATGCGATGGCCAGAGCGAACTTCCAGGACTTCGTGCTCGCAGTCGCCGTAAAAAGCGGCCCACGCGATAGCTTTCGGATCAGTGCCGCTCCAGTCGAAGTTGACTTCGTTGCCGTTGTGACGCACCACCAATGCCCCTCCTTCGTGCGCGCGCGCACGGTAGCCTAACAACCAGGGAGCTAAATTGGGATTCCGCGCGGGGAGTATCGACGTGAGCACGGAACTTGCCAGATGGACCAGAATATACGTTGAGTTTGTAGAGTTTTGCTCTGACCCTGCGCACCTCTTTGTTGACCTGTGGTAGAAGTATCCACGGTGTCGACCGCATAGGGGTTAAAGTTCGAGAAGAATTGCGTCTCATCTAGCGGAAGGGCTTTGCGGTAACTTTCATCGTAGACTTCTTTTCCTCCAAGGCCGAACGACGCTGGCTGACAATCCTCAAGGAGCTTACCGAGTGTAGCGGTAGTTTCCACGTTGTTCTGATTGGGAGAGAAATCTTGCTGATATTGCCAGTAGCCTTGGAGTCCCAGCGGAGAGTTACAGGTGCCATGAAAGTCGACTTCTTATCGTCTGTGGCTGACGAACTGATGTCGATGTGACCGCCGACGGAGAAGTTGGCAGCTGCTTTTTGGTCTGCGAGTGTTCTGCGAACCTTTGCGAAGAGAGTGGGTGGGTCGGAACTTTGATCATCTTGCTTTAGGGGCATGATGAGGAGCGAGCAAGAGACACGGATGAAATGTTACCCGCCACCCAAATACGGCGTGAAATGAGATGGACTGAGAACCGAAAAGCTTAGGGACGGTAGACAGGTGACTAAAGGGCGGCTTTCCCCATAAAATTCAAGATGTCGCACAAAGGATGCTAACCATGCGTCTGATTGCTCTTCCATGCCCTTACCTGCTTTCGGCGCTGCATCGCTTTCACGCCTAAAGTTTGTGTGTTCTAGATCAGCCTCCCGTTGTCTGAAGTCCCCTAAAGCCTTCTCGAAATATCTGGATAGATCATTTTGAAAAGGGAATGACTTATTTGGGCCACCTCAAACGGTGTTGGAAGAGTTGTGGATGGAGATACCGACCGCTGGGCCGCATATATCTAGCGCGTAATTCTCGTGCCGCACCGTGGTTCGACTGAATGCCACAGTCGTTTCCAATGAGGATTTCTAACAACGTTCCCTCGTAACGGCACGGTTTCAACGCTTGAGCTGCTCGGGCCCCGTCGGGTTCTTCGAATACTTCTGCGCAGCAGCCCGGACGTCGAGTAGAGCCTGACCGCCACCCTTTCGAGTCGTGAGAGGAAGGGTACTCAAAATAGCAACCGATCTTGGCCGGAGCGGGACGAACGGCACGTGTGGCGCGTGGCCTACGCGCGTGAGGCTGAACGCTAGATCGACACGGCCTAGTCAGGGGTCAAGTGGCTTAAAAGAGTCAGGGTCCATCCTGAGCGCCTGCACCCCTTCCAACTCCAACCTCCACTCCCAACAAGGCCCAACCGCGACGCCCGACTCGATGCTGTAATCCTGCCATGCTAGAGCACGGAGCATGTGTGTGCTTCTTCGCATGCTGATGTTGCATGCCTTCATGACTCCACCCCAAAAGATTGGAGAAACCGTCTCTCACCTTCCCAAAACCCATTATTTGAATGGCCAGGCAGTCGGCTTTTGTTTCTGCATTTTCTGCGCCAAAAAAAGCCGGACTGAAAGCGATGTGGCCAGACCATACAGCCTCTCTGTACGTCCGGCGATCTAGCGCCAAAATCAAGCCACGAAGTTGCCGTATGAGGTAACGATTCCGGATGCCTTTAGGAGGGAATAACAGCTGCCTAGCCAATGAATCTTCGAGCCGGCTCATTATTAGCCCAGAAAAGGAGGTTCACAGGGGTCACTCAGGTTCCGCGCTAGGTCATCGGACGTACAGAGAGGCTGTACCATGGCTGGCTGGCCTCTGCTCACTGACCCGAATCTAGACAAACCGATATCTCTAGTGGCGTTGTCGGCGTAGAATCGCCAGGGCCGTCTATTTTACGCGCTGTAAAGATCCCGCCTCGCTTAGGCCCTACTCCTACGATAGACGCTCGTGCCATGAGAAGAAACTACATGAGTCCTGGAACCCCCCCAGCAGCGTCGTTCTCTACTCCGTTAGTTAATTCCCTAACGTCAGACACCTCCTGCAGAGTTATCACTCTGCGTCCATTCGTTTTCCAGTCTTTGACTATCGTCACTCATTAATCATAATGTTCTCCAAAATTGCGCTTCTCACACTCTCTGTGGCGTCGGTGGCCGTTGCGACGACGATAACAGAAGTAGCATGCCCAACGCCAAACGTCATCGTGGATGCCCTTGGTCCAGACGCCGCAACTTCCTATTGCTCGTCGTTCCTTTCTATCCAGACTCAAACAGAAACCGACTCTATCGATGCCACAATGTACGCTGAATGCATCATCTGGTCTTCCCCATCGCCCTACTAACACACATATTAGCACTAATACAGTCACTGAGACGGCATATGCCGATACCACAACCATCACGGTCGACACCGTAACGAGCACGGATACCGAGACGAGCACAGCCACAACGTGCACATCGTCTGCGGCCCAGTCCGTATACAAGCGCGGAGCTGCGAAGACAGTCATTGTGACAGCTTACACCACCATCTGCCCTTGCACGGAAACTTCCTCAAAGAAGCCATGCACCGAATCTACTCTCAGCGGACACTACTCCGCATACGGTCATTCTTCCGTCGGTTACGCGGCCGTTGTGTCCTCTTCAACTTCCACCAAGTCTTCTTTCACCTCTTCCGCGTCTGCTTATGCCTATGAAGTCTCCTCCACTATCTCGACCAGGACGCCATGCACTACCGGATCCGCTGGGAATGAGCATTCGAGCTACCTCAGCTCCTCGGTCGCCTCGCTATACGGAACGACCTCCTCCAGCTATGTAAATTCTGTCTCCAGCTACAGCAGCTCGGCGACCACATCGGCTCCTTACTCCGTTCCCCACAATAGCTCAAGCTCCTCCTCCGGAACATCAATTTACAGCTTTGGGACGTCTGTCTACACCTACAGCTCGGTCTATAGCACGGGCGTGTCTTCATCTGCCCCGGGGACTTCGACGACTGAGACTTCGACGACTGAGACTTCGACGACTGAGACTCCATCTTCCACCACTGAAACTCCGTCTTCCACAACCGAGACTCCGTCTTCAACATCTGAAACCCCATCTTCGACATCTGAAAGCTCAAGCACCTACGAGACGCCATCCTCCACTACTGAAAGCTCGACTTCTTCCCAGACGCCTGCCTCTACTACTGACAGCTCTACCACCTCCGAGACTCCATCGCCGACACCGACCCCTACTCCCACTGACATAACGGCTGCGTGTGAATGCCTGTCGCTTACCACACCCACGTCGACAGTCGTTTCAACAAATTTAGTGACTGTCACGGAGACCGACACTGAGACCATAACTCCATCTGCAACCTTCACGCCCACCACGACAACTACAACCACGGTTACGAGCACGACAACCACTCAATGCGCCGCTCCGTCTGTGTGCACGGCAACCCCATACTACCTTGCAGACGCCTACGATCCCTCTAGCAGTCTTATCTGCGGTGAGACTCTACAAGGGCGAATTCTCGGGGGCGCGTACTATCTAGGCGAATCGGGTGCTCCATCTCTAGATTACTGTAGAAATCTGGCCCAGGAGTACGGATTCAAGAGCTTTTTTATCCAAGGCAATATCTGCACGTACTACAGCGCCGCTATCTCAACGGTAATCGCGGATCATCCTGCAACCGGTGCTTATACCGCGGTCTATTACGATACGGCTTGCTTCAACCTGGTAGATCCATGTGCTGCGACTACGTCGACTGCTGCGGCTACGTCGACTGCTGCTGCACCTGCGTATAGCGATTAGGCTTGCGGTGTGTAATGCCACGACGGAAGTTCGCGCACACATGTTAGCCATTGTCTGACGTTCTTCAACCCGTACTGTCAAATCTGGATCAAGCTGCTTTAGACGACCTGAAAGTCCACCAGGCCACCTGAAACGACGTCATCTCTCACTAGACAGTGCGGACGTTAGCATGTTTGCTTCAGATTCTACGTAGTAGGTGAGGATACCCCACGCAGCAGCCACAGAGTGTACGCAAATATATGTCCTGGTACTGTGGGCTATAAGGTAAATTGGGATGTGGGATGATGGCATGTGGAGGTTTAATTGGACCTAAGGAGGACGAATCGGTATACCAATAATCCTGTAATCTAGCTCAAGAGCTCATAATTCCTTTTAATAGACCTCTATACCGATTCCAACAGCCCGCTTGTCTCATCCTTTCCCCCCCCCGGACATCTTGGTTCTTATCTGGTCGATACTATCACGAGCTTCCGACCTTCGGTCCACAATCCGCCAATACTTGTAACCCTCACCATTGCCTTCCAGAATCATTGGAAAGATCTAGGTCATCAATTGATCTCCCGCATCTCCACCCATCGCCCCATCTCAACATCGCGAACGTAAAATCCGCTGCTCATTCTCCCCGCGATGGCCTCAGCACCAAAAGCCGATACTAATCAGTACCACTACCTCCCAAATGCACCTACCTCCCCCCGCAAACTCCCTAAGGTGAATTCGTGGGCCATTTTCTCCGCGTCAGCTGCCCCACGCCAGTTTTAAACCCCACCAATCCTGACTCCATCGTGCGCGCATTTCAAGGAGATTGATTGCCACCTCCCCTCCGCTCCACATGGAACGATGTGATCAATGTAGTTCAACATTCGAGGGTTCCTTGTGGGGACTTCAATACGTGTTCAACTTTTCTTGCTTCTCAAGAAGGTACCAAGGTAGGAGCTACCTTTTATAGCCGGAAGAGAGATGAATCGAATTGAGGGGCACTTGAGACACGTGAGCGCCAGGAGCTGGGGACTCACTTTCCATTTGTCACTAGGAGTATAAAATCTTCCCCAGGTTTTCTTCTCGAGCAACGCGGGAGATCAGGATCATCAAAAATGAAGCGAAAGACTATATGGCACCAGCGTAGTGGTTGGAAATCCGGCGCATCAAAAGCATTATAGGCTCTCGTTGACGAAGCTAGTGCGGTAGCGACGGTAGATGAGAATTTCACTCCGAGATCTTTGCATGTTGGAGTGTTGGATCAAAAGTAGCATCTTAAGAATCCGGTCGTGGGTGGGAAAGCGAGAGTGCATCACCGAGGTGTCTGATAGTGGAGTTCAACAGGAACATATTACCTACACCCCCATTTTCAAAAGATGAAGCTCCACATCAGTACCTCGAGAAGCTGCAACTCTGTTTTTCCTCAGCCTCATACTAACCACCATCATCACATACAAAAAACACTCGCCACTCCCATCATCCGGTTCCCAGTCTAGTTCTGATCCCTTCCCCTCGCCCAGCAACCACTCCATTATTGGGGGCGGAATAAAATGTTGATTCACAACCTCCAATCCCAGTCTCATCTAGCAAGTGGGAGTGGCAGAGTTTATGATCTTCCACAGGGAGAGGATGGGTCGGTCCTTTTGCACCTCGAGGATGAAGTCCTAGTTTCTAGAGAAGCGAGAATGAGAGTGGGAAGGGTTTTTTACTTAAGAATAAGAAGGGCATGTGAGAAAGCGTTGCACATGAGATAACAGCGCTGGGTGTAAGGTAGAGCTTTTTGGAAGCATGTTGGAGGACTTCTGACGGTGGTAAAAGAGTGTATACTGACGTATCACGACGCAGTGTTTGGGGCAAAAAGTAGGAACATGATTGATGAATTGGAAAATATAGACTTTGAACTCCACATGGAAGCGAGTACTACTATACCCAGACCTCGTGATAACTCCAGGTAGGGCATCTCGCTCGTCGCTTATCTCCGTTCTCTCCTCAAATTCGCACCCACGGCCGCCAATAGTTCGAACAGTCACGAAATGAATGGAGAATATTTCTTGAATAGGCGGGTAAGAATAACTGTTGATTGTGTGGAGAATGTCTAGGTATGAAGGTCCTCCAGGATTACCAATATCAAGGTCGACCAGGTCCGCCTCACCCCCAACCGCAAATCCCGCCACCCGGCCGTCGATGGTGAAAGAGGTCTTGAAGGGAGCATCCGGCCGAGCAAAAGCCTAAACTTGCAAGTTAGATATCAGAACCCAAACAAAAGAACCTTGAGCTTACATTTATGCCAAAGAGCTTAGATTAGCATAGTGATACTTGTCCGCCGCTCCATGTGTGATTTTCAAGAAGCCGGGAATTCCAGCAACAAGCCCGATGGCGGCCAACAGCAGGGCGAGCAGAATGTATCGCCATGGTTTCCCTAGGCAGCATCTGTCTTTTGGGCGTATGGCTGCGTCTTGGTCGTACAGCCGAATATCGACATCAACCGCGAAATAGACTTGTAGGCTCAGGCTTTCCGATGCTGGCGAGTTGGCGGCGGGTTTGGGCTGGGACAATGATGTTAGGGGGAGACTCAAGGAACTGACAGATTCGCTGGAAGTATCCTCCAGGACGCAACGCGGCAGCTGTGATGGGGCCGACGTTGGTTGCTGCAGCATTCAGACCATTGCTCCTGAGGTCTCCGAATCCATACTCGATCTTTATGAGCAGTGGCGAGCGAACGTTGACGCGGAATGCGGCCGAGAAGCCCGCGGGCCATGCCGGCATTCGGAACGGAGATGCTTATCAAATCAGTAAAGCGGTGTTGAATATGCTTGCGATACCGGAGACGAGATTATGGTCCACAGGGGCTGAAGGTGTTTGCGATGAGCCCAGGGTTCGTGAAGTCGAATCTGCGTGGGACCGATGAGGAGGCGAGGAGTGGGTGGGGTAAAGCTGGGGATCCGGAGGTTTCGGGGGAGCTTGTTCTGAGCATTGTGGACGGGAAGCGAGATGCGGATGTAGGACTTTTGGTCCATCATGATGGTGTCTATCCGTGGTGAAGAAAGAAGGAAGAAAGCAGTTTAGTAGCGAGTGTGTTTCTCCATCCTGGGATAGTAAATCAAGCTTGGCCCTCTCACAAGCACCCTTCTGGCCATGGAAATGGTCTTAAACAAATTATGCCCCGAAGATATCAAGTACGTGCGTTACGTGTACAAACCAGTGCGCCCCGCGAATAATGAAATTGGCAAAACCGACATGTCTTCATAGGGGTTCACCGTACAATGCCTCATCATAGGAATCCATACACTCGTTTACCGCTGCGTGAGGAGCTTCATATCATTTTCAGAATCCCCAGTAAGAGAGAAGCTCGGCACCTTGGACAACTAGTAACCCCTAAGTAACCTCGTGAGGCTACCCCAGACAGCGACAATCCGTTGCCCCTGGTTTCTGTCGGTTTCTGTCAGTACGTTGGAGCCCCACAGACAGTCGCATGAAAGAGTACGGATATCTTTGGTAAGGCACTGTAACGAGGCTTTCGTCTGGGTGTGGATACTGGAACCCTTCACCATATAAGGAACTCCTCTTCTTGGTCCGGGTACGGGTCCACAATATTGGACAGAAGATACGTATTCTTATCAGAGCCGAGCTCCCCATCCATGTAACAGTCTCCGCTGATGAGGGTCCAGCCGTCTCCGTGTCGCGGTCGAAGGATGCAAGGTGCCGTAGCACCTCGTAATACACATACAACATCTCCTTGTTGAGATGCATTCGAGCCTATGCCAAGATTGCCCTTGACATCGACAAATATCCGGGAGCTTTGTAGGCGCTCTCTAATTCCGGACAGGGTGTCTCTATTGAAAACCCCCTGGGATAGGTCGTCTTCCTAGAATACTATCAAAACCTCTGTGAGCGCACAACTCGTGATGTGCATGCTTACGGCATAATATCCACGGCCACGACTTAGGAAAATCACAGCTTTTTTCGTGTCCATATCTGTTTTCAAAACTGAAAGTTTCAATGATACAAGTTTCAGCACGAAAGGTACGAGACATAGAGGAAGATTCTGACACCCACCAGCACTTATCTTTTCGGGGAAATGTGTGTCCCACTGGGCATCAACGATACCTTCGAAAGGGCTATCGGCGCCATAGAGATAATATGCAAGCCCATTCAACGCGCCCCGGACATCGTCGACGCATTGAAACTCAAACACGGCCCCAATAGTATCGACTAAGGAGTACCGAATGCCCTTCACGCAGAGTACTTCATGCGTTATGCTGCAATTTGACAAATGGCAGTCCATACCGCGTATATTATATGTTTCTGGTCTTGGCATTTCGCTTTTAACGCCGAAATTCGGAGTAGGTTCTACGACAAATTCAGGGAGAATCTCGTTAACTATCAGACATGTTGATGACACATTGGACAGGAGGATGTATGGATTCCGATGTAGTCTCCGAAAAGTCGGGCTCAAGCTCATTGTTGACGTCATCGGAACTTACGAAGTCATCGGAACTACTGCGGGGATTCTCATGTTTCGCGGACCAGTAGGCATGCGGGTCAAGATTATATGACCAGTCTGGAACCCCGGACGGCAGGTTTAGCGTATGAGAATTTCGACATGCCAGTAGTAATGACAGTCCTACGGTTGGCAAGAGAAAGAGTGCCGTTTCGCGGAAGATATCCTCCGTGCTTCGAGTGTAATCCAACCAGCGACGCCAACTCTTCCCGGCCTGACGGGATTAGGTTCACTAACGCGATTATCCGGTTTCTGGGATCAGTAGCGATACAGTTGTAGGTTTCGGCGAGAAGTCCCCACAAACGTGCGCGAGTGCCTACACCGGATAACTTCCGTTTCATATAAAAGACCGAGGGTGCCTGCGAGTAAGTTACGCGATTGTGAAAATATCCGAATATGCACGCGACTAGTTTATCTAATGGTGCAATATCACCGATAAGTAGTTAGTGCCTGTTGCATTCATTCTCGCCTCGCTGGGGCTCGGCTGCGATGGGTAGTTGGTGTCTTTTGGATTCATTCTTGCCTCGCTGGAGCTCGGCAAGGGGCAATTTTTTGTGTTTGCTTATTCTCGCCGGCTTTCGGCCCGCGGAGGGGTACCTTGGCGTCCCGGAGCGCAGCGCAGGGCCACGCCAAGGTTTACCCCTCCGTTCGGGCCTCAGCGCGGCTGCGATAGGTAGTTTAGTAAGATAGCATCGATCCATATGAATCGGGTGGAATTCAATAGACGAAGGGCGTTGTAGCAGTTCCTCGTGACACTCAGCATAGCGGCATGTTTTCCACAGAAGATTTCCACTCGGTCGGACTGGTCGCCTCAAGTGTAGGAGAGTGCTTCTTAACTCAGCGATGGGTCTGACAGACGCTAGGGGATGGCATTGCAGTAGACTGAAGATGTGTCACGTGCTCCGGGACGGATTGCTACGAGGCGTATGGATCCGTCGTACTTCAAGGGTCGATAGCGATAGAATTCCATGATTGGATTTCTGGCAAAGAGGAGAAATAGAAGACCACGCTGATTAGAGAAATTTGGATGGAGTAGAAGCAGTTTGATATACGCGGAGAAGGCAGAGGGTCGTGAATTTGGTGTGAGGGAGGAAGTGCGAGAACAGGCCGGATGGGAAACCCTACCCCACTATCCTAGCCCTTTTGGCTCAGTGTTCGGCAAGCTGTGAAGGCTATGGAGAGAAACATAAATCTCCAGGCAACAGGCTGAATAACAAGGAAGATACTCCAAGCTATAGAAGGGCCTCTAACGGCGCGTTAGATCTCACGAATCTCTTCCCTGGAGAACAGAAATGTGTACCTACAAGACTGCTACAGACACAGCACTCTTTTCTCCCTCTCTTTCTCTCTCTACGGTGAAATAGATCGAGTTGATTCGGAACCTGAGAAGGCTGAAGCTGGAAGATGAGGTTCGCGAGCGCTCGGACCACAATGCACAGCCACAGCTGCAGCCACATTCAGTCACATGACTTCTGAGGTCTCTATTTTGAAGGCACATTACTGACATGTTTTCTCGTTATTTTGAATTATTAAAACTACAGTAAGTTATTTTGTTGAGGTTCTTCTCCGTACCGTGAATAAACTTAGCACGCTCCCAAATGGTAAGAGCTCCCAACCCCCGATAAATGATAAGCTGCGAGTCGGTCTTCCTTCGCATTTTTGTGTCGAAAAGGTTGCTCTATTGGTCCCTCTTCAAATCGAAGTCTAATTCCTCGGCGCCATCGTATTCGAACCGAAAAGGCTTCTTGGCAGCGCGACTTAGTCCTGATGAAAACTGTTGCCTGTTGCCTCTCGAAACCTAAATCCGTGAACCATTCTAATACAAAATCTCGACTACCGCAGCTCCCAAGATTCTTTCAACTTGTCACCTACTTTCCTTGAGAGACTTTCCCGTTGTTGTTGTTTCATCGATTCGAATCATCATCTCTCAGCCATAATGGACCAATTCCTCTCCCAAAACATGGACCGCTACCGCTCTCTAGTTGCAGCATACACCCCTCCCGCCCGAAAGTCTGAATCTGCTATACCGAACCCAGACACCAAAATCGGTGCTCGCATCCGTCCAATCCTGCCCGATGAAGCGGCCGAAGTACTAGTTGCGGGCGTGTATCCACGCTCCGAAAGTGCTTCAGATATTGCAGATGTACATGAGCTGCGAAAAGGCGTCCGAGGACAACCCAGTCTGAATGTAACCATTATCTTCTATATATATATCCAAGTGGAAAACGCACAGAAGCACTAAGTGGGCATTAGTCATCTAGCTACACAGTCGACCGTGTTTTCGGCCCTGATGACACCACTGAGGACGTTTACAAGGAGCTGATTGAGCCCTTGGTCCCTTGGGCGTGGGGTGGCGGCGTCGGCACGCTGTTTGCGTATGGGTAGACCGGGTCTGGTAAGACCTTCACGGTGACGGCGATCGAGAGGTTAGTAGCCGAGCAGCTGATGGGAGGTCGTATGGAGGGAGAGAGGGATGTACACGTGTCCGTCTTCGAGCTCGCCGGAAATGTTGCTTTCGGTAAGTGTCCTTTCGACATAATTCTAAATTCCCCTTTCCCTCATATACTACTGGGTCGTATATCTGTGTACTCTTGTTTGCCACCGCTTGAAGCCCTTCCATGCATTTTCGGAAGCCTGGGGTCCATCATCTTGAGTTAATCAGTAAGATCCTCAGGCTACCCCAGACAGCGGCCGGTAGAAGTACACAGGTCCACAGCGAAGCATTTCAGCATCAAAACACGCATACCTTTCCACAATCCCTACCTACTAACACCCACCCAGACCTCCTCAATTCTCACAAACGCATCTCCATCCTCGAAGACTCCTTCGGCGCCACCCAACTCGTCGGCGCTACCGAACACACCCCCGCCACCACCGCCGCCCTCCTCTCCCTCATCGACCGCGCCTCCGCCTTCCGCAAAACAGCGACTACGGACCGCAACTCGGCCTCCTCCCGCACCCACGCCGTCTGCCGCATCCGCATCGCCAACCCCGCCATCCCTGCCGCCGACGACGGGCTCCTCTTCCTCGTCGACCTCGCCGGCAGCGAGGCGGCGCGGGATATCGCAGATCACTCCGCTGACCGCATGAAGGAAACGCGCGAGATCAATACGAGTTTGTCGATTTTGAAAGACTGCATTCGGGGGCGCGCGCAGCTGGATGTGTCAACTGGGAATAGAGGGGGGAAGGCGCCGTATATCCCCTTCCGCGCGTCGGCGCTCACGAAGACGCTGAAGCATGTCTTTGATCCTGCGGGGTCGAGGGCGTGTAAGACGGCGGTAGTGGTGTGCGTGAGTCCGAATGCGGCGGATGCGGGGCCGAGTAAGAATACGCTCAGGTATGCGGAGTTGTTGCGTGTGGCGGTGCCGAAAGGGAGGGGTGTTGTGGAGAAAGAGGGGGAGCCTGCGACTTGGGGGAATGAGAGGGTGAGGGGGTGGATTGAGAGTAGTGTAAGTATTCCCGTGGTCGAATGTGTTTGAAGGATGGAGGCAAGACTGACAGCTAGAGTGATAGTCCGGCACACCCCCCATCTCTGCTTCTCTCCTCTCCCCTACGGAGACAGGCGCCCAGCTCGTCCGCCTGCCGCAATCCCTTTTCATCTCCCGTTGCCAAAAGACGCCTGGAGTCAGCAGCGAGCAAGCGCTCGCCTTTTACAGCAAACTGTGGCGTTTGCATATAGACTCCCAAGCCGCTCAGGCCTCCTCTACGCCCATTCCTGGATTGACCGCTCAAGCTGAACCATTAACACCTTTCGCAACCCGCATCCGTCCTGGGATGTTTGTCCGCTACAATCCTTCTCATCCCACAGGCCTTGACACTAATATTGCTACCATTTTGTGCCCCGATTGGGCTGTCGAGACGAAGGTCAAAGACTACTACGGAAAGGAAGTCAAGGGAATGAAAGGAGAAGGAGAGCGTAGGTATTTATGTGCGATGGTGGCACCGAGTATTATGCCCGGCGCATGGGAGTTGGACCTCGCGCGACAGTGCGTGGTAGAAGTTAGAGAGATGGAGGCGGAGGTGCTGATGGAGTGGGATGTGGCGACGAGGTACTGGTTTATGACGGTCTGAGAAACGCCGAATGGGCTTATAAGTGGTGGAGAAGACTTTCTGCAATTTTGAAAGATTTACATGAGATGGAAGATGTTGTAGCAGTACTTGCGCTACAATGCTTCGTTATAGAAATCTTTACACTCGTTTATCGCCGCACAAGGAGCTTCATAGTATTTTCAGCTTTCGGAAAAGAAGAGAACTTCCACATTTTGGACAATTAGTAAACTCGTAAGGCTACCCCGGACAGCGTCAACAGGGTGTACGCAGATTGGAAGTGTATCTGCTGCCCCCAGGTTCTATTAGTACGTTGAAGCCCCATGGACAATGGTAGGGAGGTGTACGGATATTTACGGCAAGGCACTGTAGTACCTCAGAACACATACAACCCATGTTTTGTGCTTCAATTTGACGCCGGCTGCACCAACATACTCCCTGCTCACAATTAGCCCACGCTCCCCACAACAATTTCATCAAAAACTCACCTCCATCCGGGTACATAATCTGCTCATTGTAGAAAACGCCTCCCTTGCCCGCCAACATCAACACCGTTGCCGCCATACCCGTATCCCTCCCCGGCCTCCCTGCGGGGTTACTCAACTTCTTGTCGATCACACTTTTATTATCCTCCTCAGACTCCCCCGTCGTCATCTCACTCGGAAACAAGCCCGGTGCAATCACATTCACTCTCACACGCGTCTTCGCGAACGTAACTGCTAGCATCCGGCTCAAATGAGTGGCGCCCGCTTTGCTGGTCCCGTACGCGAATTGCCCGCCGCTGCTACCCTTCATGGCGCCAGAGATAGAAGTCACGTTGATAACGCTGCTGGTATAGCCGGGAGTTTTCTTGCCGCCCTTGGTGAGGAGCGGGAGGAAGGCCATGGATGTGTAGAAGATGGCGGTCGTGTTAGTACGGAATGTATCCTCCCAAGATTCTGCGGTAGACTTCAAGAAATGCTCTGAAATCGCCGTGGGGGAAGACATGTCTGGTTCACCCGCTTCAAGAGTTAAGTGTTTTGATCACGTGCTATGCCGGCGTTGTTGACGAGGAGTTGGATGCCGTCGGGCTCTTTCTTCGAAATTTCTTCGACAAGACCAAGAACGTCCTCTTTGTCGCTGACGTCGCTGGTCACGGGAATAGTCTGGCTGGGGCCGGAGTCGTGCTGCTTGTCGGATTGCTTGAGGACGTCGCCGCGGCGAGACGTGGTGTAGACCTTCGCGCCGTTGGCAATGAGAGCCTGGGTAATCATGAGGCCAATGCTTGTGCCACCGCCCGTCACGACGGCGATGAGGTTTTGGTACTGATAAATGGCGTTTTGAAGAATGGTAGACCTAGGAAACGGAACATGAAGAGAAAGAGAAAGGCGAGCGATGAAGCGTGACATGGTGTTCTATATAGCTTCGAATGCGGAGAAAGGGCAAGTGTAGATTTGAGGGTTCGGTGTTCACATCCTGACGTCAACGAGGTACGGAACGTCATAAATTAAGGGACCATTCCATGACAAGAGCCCTCATCATATTATAGTTCCGTGTCGTATACGAAGTGCACCCAAGCATTTCTGTTGATGCGCGAGAGACGCGAATTGTGGTCGTGGAGTATGAAGGTGGAAGCACTTCAGATTTTTGCAAACGAGTGTACACGGATCTGTGATAAGGCACTGGAACATTGCTAGAGTATACAGATAATCTACAAAGTCGCAATGATCAAGCTATACTTCGAGCAGTCGAAGGTATGATATTGAATCAATTCGCGCCGTTCAATCCGTTGTGATGCTTCACGGCGTCAGCTGGGTACCGTCATCCCAGCGCGGTGAATTCGCCGGCAAGGCATTTTTCTTAAGCGCTACTCAATCTCCATTTTCGTCGGTAAGAGTCGCACATGAAAGTCGAAGTTCCCAAAGATGTGGTTGTGAGGACTCGCGCATGAAGCTGCTGCGCGAATCGTTTCACGTGTCCCCCACAGCCACCACAAAGCCACTCGGCGCCGCACCAGCCCCCACGCGGCTGTGAAAACGATTCGCCATCATAATGCCATAAAGCAAGTGGTGGCTAGGCAAGGCCGCGAAAACTGTGGGGAAATACCAGTCTTGAGGAACGCATAGTATACGGCGCAGCTGCGGTGAACTCCGAGAGGGCAGGTGTTAGGCAGCGGAAGTCACCCTTCTAGTATAAGAGAAGTGGAACCGACGATAGAGAATGACACCGCGTGCAATTTTACTCGTTTTCGTGCCATCGTATTTCAGCATTCTTTGCATCTTGCTTTTCTTTCGCAGCATCAAGTATAACACTTTCACTACTTGTTGCATTTGCGCCCGCATTGGAAGTCATGGAGCGCACGATCAAGACCCAAGTCGCAGTAGCCGGCCGGATTTTGTGGCTTCCTCCGTTCGAAGAAGTGCCTACGGGCGCAGTTCAGCGAGTGCGGGGGAAGGGACCGGTGGATGAGAAGATGTTTAACCATCCTGTCGTAATTTGTTCCCGGCCATGGGAGGCTTCGAAAGGGCAGGACATATATGGCTCGATGGTTCATTTCCACGTCGTATGTACAACCATTGAGAGCCACCTTTTCATAGTCGCTGATCCAGACCCTCATCAGATTACATCGTTTGGCGGCAAGACCTTGACAGAGATGTACGGCAAGACATCCGATTTCCACCGGAACAAACGTCTCGGTTACCTCCCCATCGACCCAGCCCCAGCACACCCGGATGGGCTTCCGTCGTTATTCTTGAGTGCGGGATCCCAATTGCGGTGGAATTCGTACGTCAATGTTGCCGAGATATATGCGATGGATTTGAACTTCCTCTGGATGTATAGCAATAAGAAGATGTCTGGGGCGACGGATTACCACTTGGGGGTGAAATCTGTGAGACAGCTTCGACGGAGAGCCGAAACTTTGACACAGTATTACATCGATCCACAGTTTGCAGCAGATTCCATCCCAGGAATGACATTTGGGGCAAGTGGTTTGCAGTCGAACCACCCGCACCGCATTTCAACCGGAGAGTTGGAGGATCTAGAGATTTCCGAACGCCCGATCCCCAACTATTCGAGGAAACCATGGGTTGTGGATATCCCAGAGGACACCTACCCAGCCACAGAGGCCGCAATCTTAAGCTGCAGCGGACACAGTCATGTGTCTTTCAGAAATACAGAATCGAGTCAAAATGACGAGCTTATGGTTGCGAATCGCGAAGAAACCAATCACGAGCCCACTAGTCGGATCCGGGAAGTGGAGCGCAATGATCATGTGAAGGGATGGTTCGATAGCTATGTCTCTATGATCACCCTCGGGCTTCAGAAAGTGGCTGGAATCGTCAGGCGGATGATCAAGTATTCGCTGGGATACTCGGTGGAGAGAGTTGACTCGCCAGTCTAGGCGTTGACTAGACGGACGGGTACGTGCCAGGACAGGATGCTGTATCGTTGGTGCCTTTACACATATGTATGGGAACGGAGTGTTGGCAAATCTTTTGGATGGCTTTAGTACGGGGCGTTACGGTAAACGCCCTAGATCTCTGTTTATATCCTCTCTTATATTCGTCGGCACGGAGTATTGGTCGATCCACTTGATGGCTTTCATACGAGGCGTCTCGGTATCGATTTCATCAATAGACCCCATCTTTTGGTTCGACCCACCTTCCTCACACTGGCCTTCTTTGACTTTCGCGAGAAGTGCTTCTGCTTTATCCCCAAGAATATCAGGGTCAGTCAGCGTCATCCGAAAGAAGGCCCAAACCGACTCGTACTGCCACTCCCAACGCAACACAACGTCCAAAATCTCAGTGATCAAATTAAATTTCCAATCTCGCGACCTCAGTCGCTGGAACAGGAAGGCAAGGAACGACCACCCCGACGTGTCGCTAGGATTCTGGACGCACCACTTCTTCGTGTAAGTCGTAGCGGACTCGAGCATGCGCTGGAGGTGATACACCCAGATGTTTCCCTCATCATCAGTATTGTCGCCATGGAAATCCTGGATGATCTTGGTGAGCATCTTCCTCGCATGCTGCCAAGCATAATAATTCTTCGGATGGCGCTCGCTGGCTCTGAAGACGGAGCGCAACTCTGTTTGAATGACTGATCCGGTAAAATTGAAGCCATCGGCAAGCCCCCTGTGTAATCGTATTATTGAGGTAATGTTGTTGCGGTGATGCCAAAGAGTAGGGGATTTGGTCTGTCGATGCAGAGGAGAGGTCAAGATGCTGTCGAGGAAGACAACTTCCCTCTGCAGGGCTACGGCTATGGGATTCCGGTCTTGTTTTGAACATGATTCTTCAATTCTTACGATTCTTCGCTTGCGGAAGTTGGCGGCTGTGAGATGTTCTGGATCGAATAGGAGGATTACACGGGTTGATTCTAGGCATAGCTTGGATTTATGAGCTTGAATTGTGCGTACTCAGCTCGTAGACTCACAGTTTCGAGATCCGGATCATGGTTCGTCGCAAAGAATAATTGGCGAGCTTTTAGAAATGCCTGCGTGAGTATCTTCTTTGATACTCCGAGGTTGACGCCATCCTGCAACGTCAAGGTATCTGTAGGCTGCATTGCAGATGGCAGAACCTCTATCTCCACTACGAAGCGCTCATTTGTAGTGAAGAAAGCATTCAGCTCGTCATAAGCTTCATCCATCAACAGTGATTGAACCATCCTGAGTTCCGTGGATAAGATAGAGCGGTGATGCCCGGTGTGGTGGTGTATGAAGTAGAGTTCCCAAGCGGAGATAATTCGGCCTCTCCGCCGTTCACTTTCCACCTCGAATTTCTGGCGCAGCCCGATCCATCACGGCCGCCCCACCCCACCCTCCGCACAACCACCATGCCGTCCCTCCTCCTTATAGTCTTCGTGCTACAGCTTGCCCTCCACCTCCTCAATAATGTCGGCTCAAGCTCCGTAAACCAGCTGGTACGCTTCGTCCTGTCCAAACCTTCCCGCCACATCTACTGACACGACTATAGCTATGGGTCCTCTACAACAAACTCCCCACGCCCACCGCCGCAGGCGCCAAAAAGCAGACGATCGCAAAGCGTGAAGTCATCCGGCTGAAGCGCGAAATGGCGGGTATCTCGGCACAAGACGACTTCGCGCGGTGGGCGAAAGTGCGACGGCAGCATGACAAGGCTGTTGCGGATTTTGAGAAGATCGGTATGCACCCATTTCTAACCTACACTTAAAGCCCTGTGCTAATCATTTGTAATTTTGATGTAGACGCCAGCCTCCGCACTGCCCAAAATACCTTCAGTACCACCCTCACCACTGTCCGCTGGGTTAGCACCACCGGCCTGCGCTATATTCTCCAATTCTGGTATACCAAGCGCGCGCTGTTTTGGATCCCGAGGGGCTGGGTGCCTGGGTATGTGGAGTGGATTCTGGCATTCCCAAGGGCGCCGAGGGGAAGTGTTAGCATCAACGTGTGGGATGTGGCCTGTGCGAGCTGTGTCGCGATGGTGAACGAGGCGGTGCTTGCGGTGTGGGCGCTGGCAACAAAGGACAAGGCGGCGGAGAAGGGAGCACATAAGCAGGAGGGTATGGCGATACCGGCGCTGGAGGGGAGGCAGAGCGGGAAGAAGGAGCTGTAGATTCGGGTTCGAGAGCATCAGATTCACGATGTTATGATAGCGGCACGGCACAAATGCATCAATACACTCATGAAACGCTCTCAAAATATGACTGATGATTCTCCTACACAGGGATCTATCTCCAGCCCTCCCCAATCCCAGATTCTCCTCTATATACAGATGTCTCTCGCCTTTTAGACGCAAAGTCCTCATAGCTCGAAAGCCAGGACCCAGCAACACGAGTGAGATGACCTTGGCAGGTCGTTGGGCTTGCTCTTGGCGTACTTTTTGAACTCGTGAACTATGGGGAAGAAGTATCGCCGAGTCTTCGAAAGCGCCTGTGTCCAGATGTTGTACAGTTTTGCAGTTCTACAATATTCGCGGTATGCATCACCAGTGTAGATGGGATGGAAGGCGATGAGCAACTAGTTGTATTGCTATGGACATGGAGATCGTAGGCGGGTAGAAGATGATTGTCGATGTTGGTGTGTGGTGTAGAAGTTTGAGAAGCGCAGGAGAAAGATTTGAGGAAATTAGGTACAGGAACGGGCCGGGAGTTTTTGCGGTGGGGCTTGGCGTGCACGTGCTCTTGTCCCGCCTCCTCTGAATTTTGACCCTCCCTTCTCCCTCTACTTTCATCCATGAACATGAATAATCTGAAACGTATGAACATCTCACGCCTTCCAACTTATTGTTGCCACAGTGCCCGTTTCTGTTGTTCGTGAACCATAGCCAAGCCCAGGGCTCGTTACCCGATCAAGATTCCCCTCGCAATCGTCCATTGCCTATTCAATTGCATTAGCTTCATTTAATTTTCATCAATCTGCCCCTAGGCATGCTTTCCCCTTATCTCGAAACAGAGAGATTGAAATGAGTGAAAACTCACGTGGCATGCCTCATTCCAAACCGCGTCCTCGTACCTATATACGGCAAAACCCTCAGTAGACTCTCTCTTATATATTTCGCTTCGCTTACGCTGCCTACTAGAAACAACGCCTGTGCCGCACGCATCACGATTAGTAGTCGACTTTACATTGGATGACAAGTAGTCTGAACGTACTAACTGTGGCTCCACCGCAGCGGAGGTCCCAGGAGTGCTAAGCTGCCCAACCTGCTGAATCTGCGCACGCAAGACGTCTACGAGGATCTGGAATGCGGCGTTCAGTAGGCCTCGTAATACCTCACTAGCGTCTCATCAGTGCTGCCAGCCCTAAGAATACGATCCACTTACATCGACACGTCGACCTCCACCCCATCAACACTAATGTTCCACGCCCCTACATCCATCCCAAAGTCTGCGACTATCCTATCCGCCTCCGCGTTGAGAGTGCTGCCAAAGCGCCCAGCATTCTCAACCCCCGGGATCGCAGTCCGCAAATTTATGGATACGAGCTGTTCGAGCTTCAATCGAAGATTCAAGTCAGTTGCGTGGATTGCTGTAATCGCATCAGCCCAGCATAGTTGTACCTTGAATGGGGATACACACCGCTCTCAGTAGTACATCTCCTTATCCCCTGCTCCAATATTTGGTAACCCACCGCGCTCTACCGCACCAGCCGTTCGTTGTTAGCCCACTCCTTCGTTCCTTGTATTCTTTATAAAGGTACAAAACTCACCACCCTCCCCTCCGAAACTACACCGACCACAAAGGCATCCCTGACCTGCGCGCTATTAGCCCTTATTCAACCTTTAGTAAAGTCCCGTAAGGGGTCTAGTTCTTTAGCAGGCCGTTCGTTGGCAACTACTCACATTCAAGACTCTCTGGGTCCCAAAGCCCCAACTCTGAACCATGCACTTCGCCACTGCGTCCAGCTCTCCTACGACTCTCATTTCAGTGGCACACACCGAGCCAATCCCATCAGCTACAAGCCTGTTCCTCATCGCCGCCGCAGCTAGCTCCACCGGCGGTGGGCTCGAGAAGATCCACCTCGAAGCAGCCTTGAAGATGTCGAAGTCGATGGATAGAGCAGCGCATATGTGCGTTGTTACCAGCGCGATCAAGGGACCGTAGCTGGTCGTATACGGCGGTAGAGAAAGCAGGTCGGGAAATGTGTTGGCGGAATTGAAATGATGGGCGATTGGGGAATTTGGGGCGCCGATGCTACATTGGCGATGTTCATGTGCTGGGTTCCTGCAAATGGAAATGTAGTTTACACCGCCTTGCTGCGGGCGGGGTTGGAAAGTAGACGAGCTGGCAATCGGCTGAAGAGCCGGAGTGCTGTAGGTAATGTAGGCGATGCTGGAGATGTTAGGGAGACTTGATGTGGTGGGAGGGAGGCGGAGGGAGGCAGAGGCACTTAGGTTCAATGGATATAGCTATAAAAATATGATTTGGTATTGATGTTGATGACATTGCTGGATGTGAGAGTCTGAAGGATGAGAGTTTAAACTTGTTTGAGAACGAATGAGGGGTGTAGCGTCAGGGTAGAGGGGTGAGACTCATTTCAGGTTAAAGGGTCTTGAGTGGTGATGTTCGAGGCGCATTCCATCCGCTCTGCAAACGGAATGTGTGGCGGTCTACGCCTCAAGGGCATGCTACCTACTGTGGCTGAGGTCGGCTCAAGCTTCTCCACCCCTTTATGACGGAGTACGTATTCCTAGCCAGCTAGCCTACGGAGTGTGGTACGGCTAGCGTCGGCTACCTTAATATAAAACACGGTTCCTATATTTAGCCCTCACAGTTCTACGGTACGGCTACGTAAGCCTCCACACACAGGAGTATATATACGGTGTACGTAGCCTAGATAGATGCTCATCCAATACATCACTTACCTCGTTCAATGCATTGTTTCACCTCCATCCTCACTTTACACGTGTGGCACGGAAAAGGTGCCACTCTAATTCTACAACAGGCTGTCTCATATATACACCTGTCTGCCACTGCTTGGGAAGTCTGAATGAGATAGAAGCCCTTCATCTTGGGCCATGTGGAAACTCATTGAAGCACCCTAAGCAGTGGCAGACCGGTGTTCACTCAAGACAGAGGGCTTGATGAGTCTGCCACTTCTTCATGCTTGGCGTGCTTTGCTCTCCCTCAACTCGATGCTTTCCTTGCCCAGAACGATGCTCTACCGTCGTCGGGACCTACAACAGCAAAGAAAGCCATGGCTATTGTGCGATCTCCGACTTCATTTGGAAGCTTTTTTACCGCAGGAGCTGTGTCGCAAATCGTATTATACTAATTTTCTGGACAGTTTATGTGTATATTTCCACCCTTTCCACCCTTTCATGAACGAGTTTTCCGAAACCAAGCCTTCTACAAAAGGCGGGTCGGTGAGTAAGACGCAAAACTTGGCCAGGCTGAATTGAGGCGAGGTTCACGGAAAAGAGAGTTTTTGATCCACCAAGGACCAATTAGCAGATGCCAGATCACCAGTACGAATACTTGGGAAAAGCTTATTCTTTTCCCTTGACTGGCACCAGCCCTTTTACTCACATCGAGCGGGCGGCTAGCTGAAGCTCTGGTGAGGAGTACGGCAGCCTTTTCAGCCTTGTCTATTATTGGCACACCAAGCGCCGAAGAATGTCCAGCCTGGAGCTACTGTTAACCTTTTGCACCATTCTTCCATTATACCATCTCATTGACTTTCTACGGTTCGTATATGCTCTCGGTCCCGGGTTTTAGAGCGCCAACACAGGATCAAACTTTAAGACTTGCTCTTTGTGTAGACAGTGGCTTAGCATCCCTAGCTTCGATACAGCCCGCGAGAAGCTGCCACCTGTGACCGAACGACGGTTTCTTATTTCAAAGTGGAGCCGTAGAAGCTGAGACCCGATCACTCAAGACGAGGAAACGTGAGCAAGACATCTTAGGTGCTCTACGTTACTAATGGATCTCGAAAGTCAGTCTGATAGTTTAAAGCAGTAAGAGCGAGAACTGAAAGACTCTAGGCCCAGCCTCACGAGCCAGGCAAAAGGTAACGTAGAGGCGGTTTGCTGTAAGCGACTTCTTCGGAGATATCCTACGATGCCACGCACGGCGACGAGAAAACGCGAGGAGAGGCAGGAGCGGTGAGCTTTTCCCCCAAAGTCTTGTTCGTTCAAATCAAGTGCTTTCCTTGCTTCCTCGAAACGACGAGACCGCCGCCTCGATGCCCGCTTGGAGTCCGCTAGTCAATCGTCCAAAATACATGAAAGAAGGACCGGAGTCCTGCTTAAAATACCGATCGAAAATCTCCGTGGAGAACAAATCAAGGTGGCGGAGACTGCTTCTAGTTGTCTTTATCAACGTCTGGATCCCTCTGCTAGGCCAAGAATCTTTCGCATGAATATAACGATTACCCTCTTTTTAATCTAAGCACGTAATCTTACGCCATTTTATTACTGTTGGGGACATTTATGGAACTCTAGCACCATCTTAACAACTAGATTAGAATGTAAGAAATAAATCTTACCCTATCTAAGCTTGTATAGAAATACTCATTTAACTTACTCAGATTCCGCCCCTATCTTGAATCCTGATAGATTAAACAGCGATCTTGCCGCCCTGATTACGCCGTTTGTAGTGCTCTAATCTACTAATAGAAACACGGAGCAACAGGCTACAGGTCTGGTGTGTGTACACACTTTTACCGCCGCCTGAGGTGGCTCGACAATCTTTCAGGAATATGAGAATGTTCGCGCCCTCAGAGTTGACGAAACTAGCCCCTTATACCCTCCCATCCATCGATACAACCCACGCTCTTCTACTGCGATCACCATGCCTACCCATCCTCTATTTGTTAGTCGTCATTTCTATGTGCCTACTCCCATCACTGATACAATGCTCCGCAAGCATCCAGTATCTCATATGGCTGCCCATCACCGGCCGCACCATTGGTCCAGAATCGCTCTTATGTTGACACCATCCCCACCCTCCTTTTCTGCTCCGTGGTCGTCTTCTTCTTTCATTGTTGCTTTAACAACGTCTCGACCACCGACCGTCATACGACCATGCTGTATTTGCATATCCCTCCAAACTCCGCTATCTCAAACTTCACCACCCGCCCGAGCCATAACTCATTGGTGTGAAGGAGTTGAACACCCACCGGCCTCGGCCGTAGGGTGAGTGGACGACAGGCTTCGATCTTCCATATCAACACCCTTCCTTGCTTTTGTTGAACCTCATAGTTCGTCCTGCCATGGAGCCAGGAGTCGAGGTGAAGGGGTTTTTATAACCTGAAGACGATAGCAAGTGCGTGAAGCACGTGGTACTCACGTGTCGCCATATATCTAGACCGCTTGAGCATTGACTCTATCGATGAAGATTTGAAAAGGTGGGACGAGACACGTGAGATATATGACACCAACGTGCTGTCACGAGTCAACCGATCTGGGAGTATAAAACCTTGCTTTCGTTAACCATATCCCAACAAGGTTGAGAGTTCCGGTGTGGTGTTCGGATCTGAGCGCTGTATACTTCTATAGTGTCGGCACGTTCGGAGCGCAGCTCCATCGAAATTTCTCAAAGATCCTATCGATGGAACAGGCGGCCGTGGGTGCAAGATTGCCTGGTCCACCAGAAAGTGGCCCGGCAGGAGGTCGCGAGTCCCAGTTCGCAATAATGATGGCTAGTACCATCGATGTCGTCCACTGCTCAGCAACCCTGCACCCCTTGAGGCCTCCACAATTACTAACCGAGAACATCAAACCATGGCGCAGCTCACCTCCACTATCAACCAGCTGAGCCCGTTCCACGCCATTGGAATACGAAGCGGCAGCTGTTGCTCCTACGCCATCTCCTTCTCCTTCTTTGACTTTTTCCTCTGCCACACATCCCTCACCATGGGCAGCCATGAAAGGCAGTGTTGCCTGCTTACACGACTTCGCTCCACACATGGGCTGAGGATGTTGTCAAGTGTGGCAGCACTCCATTAATTCTTCGTATCATCTAGTTTTGCTCCACCTCGACCCTCCGACTCCATCATTCGTGGCCAAGCTCGGTTTCGATCCTCCACCCCACCTCATCAGTCTTTTCCGACGTGCAGTTGATCGCCGCCCTCCACACCATGCAGTACCGGAATTGGTTTTAATCTCCCACTGTTCTGCGGTTTCGGTGTCTGTGTTTGAACCTCCACATTGACTAGGAACTTGACTGTCTTTGATCTCCAGATCCCAAATCTGCTTATATGTGGTTGGGAACCGCAGCGGAGGGGGTTTTGTACGTCAGAGAAGTTCAGGGCACGTGAGACACGTGACGCTCACACGCCTCCATTCACGCTATGGAGATGTTCATAAACGTGGTCACGTTCCTAAAGATGCGTCGAAGGACCTCAGACGGTGGTAGAAGTGGGTAGAGCGATATATTGAAGGCATGAGCGATAGGGCATGTAGATATAGCGTCGTGCAACCGTTTGAGGTGGCTCAACGAGGTTCGCAATCGTTCAAAACCGCAGACATTGTCGAGACAAAGACTCGTGAAAAGTCGTGAAGGGACTTGAGGCGGCGGATGAAGGTGTTGAAGCAGAAGCAGGTTGAGGTTGGACACACATTACCGTCCTTTTTGAAATGGGGGTGTCTACCATACCCGTACCTCAAAAACCACAAATGCCAGACGCCTATCCCATTCCATCGCACCACTGTCCGAGTGCCCTCAACCAGCTGGCCCAGGCCTCAGAACGCAACGCAGCATCTTACCACTCACACCTTCCCCCTCCCCCAACCCGCTTTCATGCACCTCACGTAGGTGAAGATCCCCGCTGAAATAACCAACACAACCGCACAGAAGGTCCACCCGCCCAGAAATGCTCTCTGGACTACTTGCACCTCATCTCCCGGCTCCGCGTCCGTCTTCAGCGCGCCCGCAATCGGGTTACCCACCAGCCCGCCGAAGGCAGCGAGCGTGTACGCCATGCCCATCCTTGTGCCAATCTGCGACGGATGCGCGGTCAAATTCGCCAGGATTGCCGGACTCAGCGACGTCAGCGCGCCAGACATGAAGCCATAGAGGCAACTCACAGTTGCCAAAGACCTGAGAGTAGAGGTAGTGTACAGACAGAGGGCGAAAAGCGCGGCCAGCAGCGTGCACGGGATCAGCGTGTTGAGGGCGCCCACGCGATCGGCGACGTAGTTCGGGATCAACCTCCCGAGGAGGGCTCCCGCATTCGCTATTGCGAGAAGGTAGAAAGCGAATGAGGCGTCTAGGCCGAGCAGGATGGCGTACTCGGAGATGTAGAAGTAGGGGATGTAGACGGCCGTGATCATGAGCACGAAGCCGACTGTGAAGATCGTGTAGGGCATGTCGCGGAAATGGTGGATGTTGAACATGCTTCTGGGCTGTTTAGGGGGGCCGCCTCGGAGGCGCATAACAGCGAAGCAGAAGGCTGTAAATGCCAAGAGGAGGAAGGCGAGAATGCGCACAGCCCAAGAGAAGCCGATCGAGTAGAAGAGATGGCGTAGCATGATGCTGTACGCGACGCCGGCTGTATTTACGTAAGCGTCGATTTCCTGCTGAGAGTACACTGTACTGACGGCGTCGATGTGCTTCGAAGTGGTTTCAGGTTCGTCAAACCGGTTGATTCCGGATTTCGAAGACCTGATCGAGGCTCTTCACGACGCCGTCAGACGGGTGTAAACACTCACCGATATTGCTGCCCGCTGCTGCGATCCCGGAACACAATGCCCTCCTCTTCTTGAACCATAGGGGTATTACGGCCTGCGAAGTGAGACCTAGCATGCCCATACCGAGGCCTGCGACCACGCCTTGTGCCAAGAACAACTCCCAATATTTGGTGCACTGGGCCGTAAGCAGCATGCCCAGGACTTCAAGCACCGTGCCAGCAGCGATAAGTGTGCGCAGATATCCCGCATCGAGGGCAATTCCGACCGGCGCGCCAACACCCATTGCGAGGAAGAGCTGGATGCTTCCGATCCAAGAGATGGCTGAAGCGGACGAGGAGGGGATGAGGTCGTTCATGTAGTAGGCTTGGAACACGCCGAAGGTGTTTGTGAGGCCCCTGGTGGAGGGATTAGCGATGACAATGGATGAATATGGGGTCTAAGCGGGCGGAGGAGTGTACCAGGTCGTCGAACACATGATGCAACTTGCGACTACCTGCAGCCATGCGGTGAGGCCGTGGTCCATGGGGAGGTCGTCAAGGGGACTTTCGGTGCTTTCTTCGGCGCCGCTGCCTTGCGAACCGAGCTTCAGCTTCATGGTGGAAGAAGCTGCGGAAGGGTCGGCATCGGTGGGGTAGACGGTGATAGGTTGCATCGTGAGGATGATGAAGTTGAGGGCACAATTGATCAAGTTGATACAACTGTTGTAGTAGAGGAGTCGATAACGAGAGGATGAGGTAGCGAAAATCTCTTGACAAGGCTGAAGAAAAAGAAGAAGATAAAGGAGAAGAGAAAGATATGCAGGCCGCGTTGCAGGTGAGGAGTTTATCTTTCGCGATACATGGCCGAGAACGGCGTCTTCTATCGGACCATGGGTGCACACACGCGGTTGCCGATTTCGGGACGAGTTGATGGCGAGAGCTGTCCCCAAAACCACGGATCGCGCCATCAATCTGGCGGAAGCGTGGCCAGACTGTCGTGGTGATGACAACAAGACTGGGGACTTCCATCTGCGAAATGCGCGTGTTGCCAACTGCAAGCGTGCCGCTTGGTGGTTTTGTACACACTCGTTTACTGCTGTCTGGGATGCTTCAGTAGGTTTTCGCAAATCTGAACGAGGTTGAAGTCAATTGGATTGAACAGCCAGTAAAACTGCCATGCCACCACAGACGCCGCCAGAAAGGTGTACGCAGGGCGGATATCGATCTCGACGCATTGACGACGAGAAAAGCGCCTTATCCTAAATAAGTGCGCGCGCTCTTTAACCGCTGCCTGAGGTGCCTCGGGGGTTTTTTTTGAAAAGACGAAACAGATGGAAATCGACCAAATTGGACAGCTGGTAAAATTGCGAAGACACCTCCGACACCGGCGGAAAGGTGTATACACGCTGGGATTTGACCTCATTCGTTGAGAGGTGGCGAGCAGCGGGAAGAAAGTGTGATAAGAGCTACATGAAGGCACTGGACGTGACCCCAGACCATAAAGTGAAGATGAACTGGAGTTTTGCACGACTATTACTGGACCGAAAGAGGTCTACCAGAATGACGCTGAGGGCGTGTACATCAAGAGAAGAGCTCCCTTGATCGCTGGAAAGCGAGAATAGAGAGCTCACGAATTGTATGAAAAGACTCACGTGATCCTTGACGTGTAAGAGTCCTCCGGAATTAATGGATGAAGACACGGCCTGGTGGATATGCCCAGTTAAATTCAAACTCCCCGCCCAATGGAATATGCTTCTGAAGAGGGTATATTTACAAGTATACAATGTTCTTGCAGATGGCTCCCCAAATGTCCGCAAACCGGTCTCACGCATTTCTCGAAGGTTCACTCGGTGCGAGCACCGCATCCCCCTCGTCCAGTAGGTCATCGAAGTCATCCAGCTGTTTCTCCTCCGGCGTCTCCTCCACCGGCCCCGTGTACATCTGGGCCGTTTGCTGCTTGCGCTCTTCGGTCTGCTTGGCGGCCCACTCCTTCCATTGCTCGTATGCCTTGTCCTCCAGCTCCATGCCGACTTGCAATGGACCCTTTCCGAAGTAAGCACCGGCTGCGAGAGCCTCCTCTTTCGCGATACGCCGCTCGACCTCTTCAAGATGGCGGTGGTGGTAGAATTCGCGGCGGGCTTGGTCGTAGGCGGCGGATTGGGTCTTGAACTCGTTGGTCATAAGCCAGAGCTGGCGCTGCACCACACTGGAAACTGTTAGTATATGCGAAGAGACATTCATTCGGGAATGATGGGTGCTGCAAATATCGCATACCTCTCCCCATCCAGCTTCTTCCCCGGCTGGACTATCCTGGACCAATCCCATTGCTTCGCATCACACCCGCTGCCCTCCAATATGACCCTCGGCCTCGCCAGCTCCCACGGATGGTCGCCGTAGAAATCGTTCCGCAGCGCGTCCTCGGGGAATTCCAGAGCCATGGGCTTGAACATTTTGCTGGGTTTCCGCCCCTTCACCGACTTGTGCGAGCCCGACTGCATCAGCGGCCGCACGAAGGGCTGTGAGGGCGGGATGTCCCCGGCCACATCATACCATAGCGGGCGCTGGGCGATGCGATTGTTCTCGAAGAGGAGGCGGGCTGTGTCGCGCACGCGGAGAGGGCGGAAGTCTTGCAGGTGTCGGCGGCCCATGGTGGGCGGTGGGGCGGGGATGAGGCAGTAGGCGGTGTTGCTGCTCCGTCGCGGATGTAGTCACTCGAGAACTGCGCGGCGGCAGTCAATTGGCAGCGGGCGATGGCGGTGGTGAGTTGGCGATGCTGTTGGGGAAGAATCGCTGTGGTGTCTCGAAGTTCACGATCTTTCGCGATGCCGGCCCGTGCACCAAAATCTTGCACGCCTCCCGATTCTCAACACCACCAAAGCTATCACGGCCGCCTCCCCCGCTGCCATTGACGGCCTCACCTCTGTACTGTCGCTCTACCCGCCCCTCTCGCCCATGGATCCGCCGGCGTCAACCTCTCCCTGACACAATGCGCGGCTTCTCATGTCCCTTTTCGGCACCCTCGACAGGTCGACCAGAAGCCCGGTTGTCGCTGCTATAGGGCCCCGATCTCTGCTGGCCCTGCTCTGTCCCGCACTGCGTTCTCCAGCTCCATCATCTCGCCCTCGCCGACGAGCTATACACTCCACACGCGCCGTCGTCCTCCCATCCCCCACCCAGATGGACAACCTCTTCATCCGGGCATTGGTGCAGGCCGGATCATGTCCCCAGCACGCGCGACACCCTACGACGTGTCGAGAACCCTCGCCTTTTATATCCTCCCATCACAAGACGCGCCGGAAAAGCTCCTATGTGCGCCTTCAGACTCGACCCCTCTCCACCTCCACACCCGCCCGCAACATCCTCCGCCACGCCGTCGACGTGACGAGGGAGGAGCTCAAATCCCTCGTTGACTTCTACAACTTCGAAATCAATCCAGATGAGGTAGATGAGGGTGCCATCCGGACGCGAGAGACGTTGGAAGATGGGAGACCGCACAGGCCCTGGAAGCTCGAAAGCGACGAAGATGCTATGACGAAGGCTGCATTGGAACAGCTATTGAAGAACGATGAGAGCTCACACAGCAAGATCTACGCCGTTTACCAGCTCCTGCCCTACCCTCGAATACCCTTCCTCTCCCTCAAAACCATCCGCCGTCTCCTCCACATCCTCTCCGTTGTCGAACGCCACGACCAACCCTCCATGCAACGCTACCTCTCCATCCTCGACGATATGAAGATTGCCAACATACCCGTCCTGCGTTCCGAATGGACTAGTGCAATGGCCTTCGCCGGCCGCGGCGTGCGCTCCGGGCCCATCACAGAAGCCGAGGTCCAGTCCATGTTATATATCTGGAAGGAAATGGAGTCAGACGCTGGCGTACAAGGGACCAATGTAACTTTCAATGTCCTCTTCGACATCGCCTTCAAAGCCGGAAAATACGACCTCGCCCAAGCCTTCCTCAAAGAAATCGCAAAGCGCAACCTCCGCGTCTCCCGCTACCTCCGCACCAGCTTGATCCACTACAATGGGGTTCGCCAAAACGGCCCTGGTGTGCGCAAAGCCTATGCTGACCTCGTGGAAGCCGGCGAAATTGTCGACATCGTCGTCCTCAACTCTGTCGTCAACGCCCTCTTCCGCGCTCGCGAGCCCTCAGCTGCTGAAGCCGTTTTCCTCCGCATGAAAGCTATGCACACCGCCAAAACAGGTACCACACTCCCTCCCTACCATTGGCGAGATGTTCGAAAAGCCGGCTTGGCGATGGACGCCGAAACCCGCCGTCTCGAGGCTGCCCTCCGCGTAGCAGAAGCCGATAAAGATCGCATGCAAGAGCTCGCCAGCCACCGTCAAGCCCTCCAAAATGCAGCCTCAATTGCTCCGAATACGACGACATACGCTCTCGTCATCCGCTACCACGCACAAACCGCTGGGAATATCGATCGCGTGGCCGAGCTCATCGGCGAGATGCAAGAAGAGAACATCCCGCTCGATGGGAATGTCTTTCTCTCCATAATTCGCGGCTTCTCCGAGTTCGGCGGCGTGCGCTACTCTAGCTGGACGGCGGACAGACTAGAGATGTTTTATGAAGATTTCGTCGCGGGCGTGGATCGCGGGGAGCAGAATTACTACCTCGGGAGCTCGTCTGTCGTGCTGATCTTGAAAGCATTTGCGAAGACGGCGCCTGGGCGGACACTGGTGGTGTGGGAGGAGTTAAAGCGGAGGTGGGGGCCGGATGAGGGGGAGGTCGATACGACTTGGAGGCTGCTGAGAAGACTCGTGCCTACGGAGGTGGAGGAGAGCATGAAGGCGGCGAAGAAGGAGCATGCGGGCGATGAGGGTGGTGATCCGTCGGACTGGGACTGAATGTAAGATCTATGACACTCTGGCTATACGGTCGGTATATATGTTGTACATTTACGCAAGATTTTGCGCAATATTCGCAAGCGACATGGGACGATGGGGTTTGTAGAATACAAATGTTTGATGTTCAGATTCTGGAGGCGTGATTAACTATATAGTGCTCTTCGAATGTGAGAACAAGGAGCAAGCCCCCCTCGTAACTACTCGACCAAGAGCCCGACATACGTCTTTCGCTTCCACGGCCACCGGACTTCGTGAAGTTGCCCCCGTGAAAGTGAGTCAGGTGCAAATCACGGCCTAGCGCACTTCCCCAATATTCCATCGATAAAAACCCTTTCCTCACTTCAGCTCCACCAGAATCGGCATTCCTTAAACCTGCAACAAGGATCATGCAGAAGATCGATGGCGGAGGATCAACTTCTCCTGCGATCACGCTCGATGTGCGGGTGCGGAGGAGCATTGGGAATTTCAACACATGAAAAGACTATGGCGAATGGAGTGAGTTCGGCGATCAAAAGGATGACAGTTGGGACATGATGGTGCGAAACTTGCAAATGAGGTGCTTGATGGGGGGATCGGAAAGTGAGGAATATCGTGCGTTTGGGGGATTCGATGGCGAGGAAGAAAGTTGGCGGGCTTGGGAAACGGTGGTTCGTCATGATAGTTTGGTATAGCAACGTAAGGTCATGATGGTTGGGAGTATCAGATTACGGAGGTTTGAAGATTTGGAATGGAGATATGCGAATAATCACGAGGAGCGCGGAACGCGAGATCAACTACTCTCAGCAATCCGTAGTGGGTAGTGGCTTCGTTGAAGCGACCGCCGCATAGGATCTCCTTCAGTCCGAGTTTTAGAAGCTCCTCCAGGCCTTTTCCGCTCTTAGAAGTTTACCAGGGCTCCATAACTTGTCCGATATTTAAGCACAGGTTTTTGGTGCTCACCTGCCTAATCACCTGCCCCCCCTTTCAACGTTTGGCCGCTGACGGCATCCTCCTTCTTAGACTGGAGGCACGAAGAAGCCGCGTTTACACGTGCCTCACGTGCATCTTACTTTCTTTCGCATATAAACGATTCTTCTGAGAGAGTGTAGGTCTATAGAGGACAAGTTCCTTAATGTGTAAATCGGCTCACCATAACCCTCCATGTGGAGGATCGAATCCTCACATCTCATTCGCGATGTAGGGAGGGAAGACTGGGGGATTAACAGAGCCGACTGCACCACTGATGGAGAAGCTTGGTGGTTCAAAATCGTTGAAGATTTGGAGCTATGGAGTGTAAGCGGATCATATATCAGCGCATGTCGGGATTAAAACGGAAGTGGTATTGGAGCCATGGAGTGGTTGTTTGTTGGAGCCTGAGGTTGGAAATCGCGTATCAGTGGTGATCTATGAGATAATAGTATCCTGCTGCTATCTTGCATTTCTTACGAGCGATGACAGGCAATACCTATTTGCGGACGTTCTTAGCAGCAGAGTGGAACGGTGCCGGGGAGCAATATCTCGGTGTAATGATGTAGAAAGAGCCGGATTACCAGAGACTCACCACCTCCGCGCCATGAATCTTGACCGCGCTGTAATTTGAAACAGCCGCAGCATTCGATTTGCGGTATGCTGGTTCGATGCCACTACAATGCACCGCCGGCGTCATTGTCTTGTAGTGACATACATGTTTCTTAGGGGAAACCTGTCGACCGTCTCGATGTCCTTTTCTTATTAATGATAAGATATTAAGACAAAATTTATATGCAGATGGGGATAGATGAAGCACGTGTGTCCCACGTGCTGTCGCTCAACCAAACGTCTCATTGAATGGAGGGCTACGAGGACCACGAAGCTTCCAGATAGAAGGCCGCTGTACGCAGCATATTGATAGGAGACGATGCCACTCGTCTCGGAAGGTCACCCTTCACGTGCTGTCATACAGGATGTAGCTGAATTAGGAGGTACGATGGAGATCGTCTTTTGATTGCATGTGAAAATCGCCGCATCCATTATTCGTCTCGAATCCCCGCCTCGAAGGCTACACCGAATCGTTGCGGCCTGGTGCGTCGCGTCTAAACCATTTCTCCTCTCTCGCAAGAGCTGTTTGAGTCCACTTTACAGTGATGATACTCCAGAGCCCAGCCCAAATGAAGGGAATGCCCCATCCTGAAAGCCGTTAGCGGCCGGTTTCACCAAAAGACCCCAATTACACTCACCGATCCCATACGCAACTCCTTCATTGATCGTATAGACCAATATAGTCACAATTATCGCAGTCGCTAAGGCGCCGACGCTCCAAAACATGCTCAAATGCAGCAGCAACCGCCCGAACATGGGGCTGGCTTCATATCGCGCATTTAGCGCCTTCCTGTAAGCGACACCGCCGCCGCCGTCAACAGCAACGATATCCTCAATTAAGATATACAGTCCTGGCCGAAAGACTGAGCCTTTTGACATTGATGAAAGGCGCGCGGGACTCGGGTAGCCACCCATGTGAAGCAACGTAACTAGCAGGAGCTGTGCGCCGACATAAAAGAGCAGGGAAGATGCTGGCATCGCCATAAGGCGCAGATTTGGCTTCTCAGGCAGAGATCCGATAACGAGCTCTAGGGTTGAGATGACGAAGCCGCCGAGGAAAGAGAGCTGAAAGAAGTCGAGGTAGCGGCGGAAGCTGCCTAGAGGAGTCGCGGTCGTGTTCTTTTTCAGCAGCCTCCATAGCCGCACGGCCCAGCCTTGAATCGCGAAGATACCTAGGATTACTTGGGTGATCGTGAAGACTGCAAGAAATGAGTATCTAGGGGGTTAGAAGAAGTTGTAGGCGGAGTATTTACCAGTATGGTGGTCGATGTTGGTACCGAACCAAAGCGCATAGAAGAGGACTATTTGGAATACGCAGGAAACAAAGACTATGATGCTCCATTGGACTGCGATGGATTTCTTGTGCTCGCGAAGGTTGTAGGGTAGTGGCGGCGGGCCGGTTATGCATTTATCATTATCCGAACTTTGAAGAGACAAAAGGTCTTGATTCGAACTTTCAAGAGAGATGAAAGACATGGTGGCTTAAATGTATCGGTATCGTAAGTTGAAGATTGGCACTTCGACCAGTTCTCTTCGTTTGTTTTATATCATCTTACTGTCCTCCGATCCCTCTACCCGTTTCGAGAGCCATGTTTGAGAATTTGTCGATCTACCATCTTTGCGTCGTGGATCTGGGGCAGTGCACAGTGTATTCATGGTATGAACGTATAGCATACGACGAAGCTTTCGTGTTGTTGTCGTGTTCTGGCCGCGGCCGACTCTGCCGAGAGAGGTTGGCAGGAAATGGGCGGAGCGGGATTCTCACGCCAGCGGTGTAAGGGGCAGCGAGCCGAAGTGCCAAGATCTGGGCAACATCCGACGCGTTCCGCTGCATCAACCTTCAACCATCACGATGGGTCAACAGTATCACTTTTCATTCCTAGTATCGCCTCCTAGGGCGGTGCAATAGATGCAGCATAGCCCTGGAACCTCAATTGCCCACGGCTAGACTGCGTCATGTCCCATATCACCCTTGTTTTCCCTCTCTTCTAACACCGTAATTGGTCAATCACCTAAACCTTTGCCGACACTACCGAGACTGCCGATTCTCAAATGGAACACCACGACAATTCAGCCTCGCAAGCTGACAATCGCCGCGTTGCCTCTGATGGCTATGTCGTGCCTCCTGCTTCTGATCTGCGGAAACGCGCAGCAGTCGCTTGCCAGACATGTCGCGACAGAAAGGTCAAATGTAACGTGACGGAATCGGGAATACCTTGTGTGAACTGTAGGAGAGACGGAATTCATTGTGATGTGAAGCGGCGGAAGAACAATCAGTACGACAGCGAGTTTCTCAGGTTCTCCCATCCGGTTTCCTCGCGGCTACCTAGGTATTTGAATGTTACTGACCAGCCACTAGAGCTCGCAGGTCTCGAAGACAGCCATCACAAGATGTCGGTGAGGCCAGCACGTCCAGCAAAGTCCGTAGGCTTGAAGGCACGGAAAGTCAGATTGACGTCGGAGGACACAGAAGTGGTAGTCTGCCTTCGGATCCTTCAAATTTATCGAATCTGTCTAACCCTTCAATATCCCCGGCGAATGCTGATAATGCTTATTCATACAACCCTTCGCCTTCCAGTGTACCTTCGTCGGGAGCTACCACTATCAAAGGAAATCAATTCCGATTTCTCCACACATTAGCACCGCCCATATTCCCAGACCATGATCCAAGTGCTCAGTCGACCGCTATTGAAGGAGTGCTGAATGACAAGCCCTGGTCAGGAGCCGTGCCGTTCTTTGTCGGTATGTCTTCTTACTTCTGGCGACTTTGTGCATGCCGATGCTTATTCTTTTCAGGTGATGCTCAGGGCATAGGATATGTCCTGAATATCTTAGAGCCCGAACGCGCCAATCCTACTACGGCGCAGCATTTCCTGATTCCTCAATCGATACCCTCCTTACTCGACCCAGAAGATATCGACTACTTGCGGGCGAAGGGTGTCTTCTCCTTGCCACCGTCAGACGTCTGCGATGAGCTCTTGCGTTGCTACTTCCACCACATCCACCCAATCTTGCCTATCCTCGATGCCGACCGTCTTTTGAACGCCTATGTAGATGGCGGAGTGCAAAAGCTCAACCTTCTCTTGATGTGGAGCATATTTTCGGTGGCCGTTAACGTACGTGGTCCCAAAGACCTAAGAAATAACATACCGACGAGTCGTAGTATACCCGAGATGAAGTATGCCAACGAGCTGGCTTCCAAACCCGCCGAGATATGAAAAGAGCAGCACTCTCGCGAGCAAAGGTGCGCTCACTTGTTTCATCTTGCCATTTTGACAGTGTTCCGTTATGGATGTCCGCATCCTTTCTTGCCACTGCTTGTGGTAGCACAAAGCAGTGTTAGAATCTAGGACGGCGGGTAATATTTCCAATCTGTGGTCATAGATATGATGCTACTTGGGTTGGCCTTGCAATTTTACCAGCTGGTCGAAAGCCTCGACTTTTCTTTCATTCGGAACTACTAAACTGCAACGAGGCACACAAGCAGTGGCAGTGGAGCGGATTTCTGACGAGACACTGCAATGATCGAGAACTCTGCTAAATTTAGCCGCTATGCAGTGCATGTATGACAACGGCCGTGAACAAGATAAGATCGTACTCGTCCAATCCACTCTACTCATGTCGTTTTGGTACTCCGACACTGAAGATCGCACCGAATCCTGGCACTGGATCGGCATCGCTATCAGCCTCGCGCAGACGATGGGCTTCCACCGCAATCCTGACTCCAGCCAGCGCAACAGCCGCCTCTCTGAGCGACAACGGCAGCTATGGAGACGGCTCTGGTGGTGCTGTTTATACCGAGATAGGTGGCAAAGCTTTGGTGTTGGACGTCCCATGCGCATCGTGATCGAAGACTGCGACACGCCGTCGCCCTCTGCAGATGATGTCCTCACCGAGGCAGAAGGCCTTTCTGACGCGGCGCGGAAGTTCATTCCCCACGACCTCGTCCTTCTTACTAAATACTGGATCATTCTCCTGGAGCTTACTGCTAGTTTGGGAAACATTTTGGTTGGACAGTGGCGTCGACAGACACCATTGTTAGACATCAAGTCGGCAAACGCTCTGGAGCAAAAGCTTTCAACAACCATGGGTTCGCTATTCAGCGGACTTACTACTCCGGACTCGTCGTTTGCCTCCTTCTACGAAAGCCTTCTACGGCTACATCATTCGTGAGCTCGAAACATCTCTGAGTCTCCTCAGGTCTTTCTGACACCTCTTGCAGGGCCGCTATCATAGCATTGTTTAGGCCTTACGATAAGGGGGATGAGCAGCTGTGGGGTGCTTTTGGCAAAAATGCGACGCAGAAGATTAGAGAAGCGGCATCGAAAATAAACCTCACTCTTGACGCGATCTTCATTGCCGGCCTCACCAACTACATTGGCCCCATGGCGTAAGGGCAACCAGGAGCGAGTCCTTGCTCTATATGCTAACACAATTAGAATCCCTCTCATCGTGCCCGCCATGCACACACATCTCCTCGACCTCCGCAGCCCCGAGAACTTAGTCCGACAGATCGCATCGAACAAGCTTGCCTTCTGCATGACGGTGATGGACGAGCTCAAGGTGCTCTATCCCACTGCGAATTTCATCCATGACATCTTCGCTCGAGCGAAATTGAAGATCGAGAGCCAGCAATCTCCGTCTGAAATCCACGCACAACTTCAACGCATACCATTTGGTGCTCGCATGTCTACTGAGTTCGAAACACCGCAGTCGAATTTAGCTACCACCGCAGGAGAATTACCACATCTATTTATCGACTCGACTCTCTTTGATTTCTGGGACCCAAATTCTATATTTCCGTATAACTTCTCCGAGTATGTTGGTCGAGATGCCTCGAATTCGCTTAGCTAATTAGGATCCAGCATTCCTGATGTGGATATGAATGCGAGCCGAGCGGTGGGCTATAACGAATTCGAGGACACCTTTTCAAATATGTGGCAAAACGGGCAGATGTGAGGCTGACGTCGGGTGCTGTAAGAAGGCTCGAAGACGACCTTGCGGACCTACGTTTAAGAGAGGACAGGGAAAGGCGCGTATTCGATGTGGGACAGATCGACCCATTTACTCAGGTACAGCTGCGCTATTCACATTATATTGCTTACGTTCCTTCGAGCTCTTTCGATCTTACTATAACGTGCAACACAAGCGAGCCGGCCACCTCATCAACTCTCAACAGCTTTGAACGTAGATTGCTCCACAACGCTAATAGATATTAACTCAATTTAACTTGCAGTCTATTCTATAATAACTTCCTCATCTTTTTAACAAATACGAGCATTGTGTCCTGTCTCGCCGCAGCGCCTACAGCGCGCTTGCTACCGTGCACTTCCACCCAGGCGCCTCCTATTTTGACGCATTTCGCCCTTAATTTGTTTATTAGCTTCCTTTTAAGCAATTATATCAGACCCCTATGCCTTTGTTAGGACTTCTTGCCTCTAAATTTGCTTTCTTTTACACTTTCTACGCTTTACAGCGGCCTTATTCGCCTTTTAAAGGCTTATAACCTAATTACGCAATAATATAGCCCTATATATCTGCATTTTAGCGCCTCTAATAAGCAAATTAAGCGACTTAAGAATTATAGTAGAAAAGCTATTTTAATATATTTAAATACAATTATAAATTAAAGCTAATTAAAAGCTTAGCTTAAGAGTATTACTTAGTTTTTAATTTCTATTAAGCCTCTACTATAGCAGGAGGTAATAGTATATAAAGTATAATATTAAGCTTTAAAAGTACTGCTTCTAGATTAAGCAGTATAAGGCCAGCGCCTTAAAAACTTATATAAATATTGCTTTTTATAAATAAGTTATTAAATACTACTTTAAAAACTAGTAGGAACTTAAGCTTTATAATATAGTTAATATAGTTATACGCTAGATCCTTAATTTTGCAACTATACGCTTTTTTTAATAGTATAAAACAGCTTAACCGTTATAACAACAGTAGTAACTATTAATACCCGGGTATTAATATTACTACTAGTAATAGAGAATTAGTAGTAATTATTTAGGTTACTTTTTAAAGGTTACCTATATAATTTAGTTTAACTAGCGTATATATTATATATAGGAACTAATTTTATAAGGGTTACTATTAGGGGACTACTAATCGTACACCCCCTAATTCCTAGACGTACACCCCCTTTTTACTGCGCGTATACCCCCTCCCCCTCCTATCGCTTCACCACCTTCTAATTGGCTCGGAGAGCCCGGAGCTTCCTCCGGGCATTCACCTTTACGTCTCTCCACACGTGATGCTATACGCGAGGCCGTACGTGATGCTATACACGAGGCCGTACGTAATGCTATATAAAATGGAGAGGCTGTACAGCCATGCCCATTTTATATAGCATTATACATAAGCTTACGTACGAGCTCATATATAAGCTCACGTAGTCTAAGTCTAATAAGTATAAGTATAGAATAGAATTCTATTCTAGAAGTGCCTACGTGCCTAACAGCATGCTAAACCTGTCAAAACCTCACCTTATTACGGCTCCTTTGCATCGAGCCTGGCCCCGTAGCATCGCCGCCTGCACCTACTCCTCATACTGATCTACATACGCCTCAGCCTCATACTCATATTGATACTCCGCAGGCCCTAGAACATTCCTACGGCTCTTTGGCCGGCCTGATAACTCAGCAGTGCCTACAGCGACACCTGTTGGGCGCTGAGACCCTCCTAGACGTGCCTGTAGAGCTGCAATCTGTCGTAGAATGTCCGCACGGTCATCCTCTTGTTCCACCTGAGGTTGAGGCTGAGCACTATCTTGCCTCTGAGCTCGTGCCCTTTTCCGCGGTACCTTATCCTTTGCACCAGGCGGCCGGCCACGCTTCTTAGCCGTAGGTGTAGCCGTAGGTGTAG